TGAATTCTGCCCCTGGACTACCCCACTGACCCTGTGATTCAGCCTGGACCCAGACTGTACAGGCGGCTCCTCTTGCCACCTTGAGGAGAACTCAGAGATGAGGCCGCAGGCCAGAAGAGGAAAGTGAGGCACAGAGAGACCCCAGAACAGACCCCAGACCTATGGGGCACATGGCATGGCACTTGAGGCATGGGGGGATATCAAGGTGGACCCAGGGCAAACCCCTTGCCCCCTTCCACTCCTCCCTACCGGCCTCAGGGCCGCAGGCTGGACCACCCAGCTTGAGGGGGGAGCTGGGACCAGTGTTTATGCAACTGTGGGGAGGCCACAGCCCGTCTGGCAGTGCCGCCTGCCCAGCACTGGTGCTGATTCAGCAGAGCCCCCCCAGCAGATATGCACTCAAACACGGACACTCATGCACACACACAGCAGCAAACACACATGTACATATGCACAGACAAATGGGCACCTACACACAGACATGGACCCACACACACAACACACATAAATGCACAAGCCCACATTCACTCACAGACATATACACAGGCATACATGCACACTGTGGCCTTATGTACACATATACATGCACATTTCACCCAGCCAGGATGGGAAGATGCAGAGTAAGGAGAAGGCTCACCTCTGTCGCTGAGTCTCACCTTTAGGTGCCTCCACCCATCCACTCAGATGCCTGTACCCACAGCCAGTGACCCTAGCCCAGGAACACGTGGTCAGAAGAGCCACATATGGGAGGTAAATGGCCCCAGGGTAGCAACATGGCCATGGCTGGGCCAGAGGCACATTCTAAGTGGAGCTGAACCAAATCAAGTGGAACCAAACTGCCTCTGAGAGGGCTCATCAGACAGCAGCCCGGCCCTGCCCTCACTAGCAGACTAAAGGGCCCCCAACCCCTCCCCATCCAGCCACACAAGAAGACTGGGGGCTGCAAATGTCAGGAGGGAATTGCAAGATGTTCCCTTCTACCACCAAGCCAAACTGAGTGGGACAGCAGCTCCCAGGAACTAGGGGAGCCTGCAAGAAGGAGGTGTGTCTGCGGAAGGCTTGGGAGTCCTGCAGGACACCCTGGAAACCAGAAGGGCAGTCATTCTTGAAAGAGTGGGACGTGTATGCCTGAGGACTGAGACACATGCAAACTTGGATGCAGGCCACTCGTTGCTGGAGATGACTAACAGCAGGTAGTCCCTACTCAGGACTCCAGCCCAGGGCCGGCATACCCAGAAAGAAAATGCTGAGACCACTCTTTCCTATGCAGACTCTTCTGGGCTTGGTATCCAGGAGCAAGGTGCACCAGACAAGCAGGCGCTGGGGGCTGCCCAGGAGGGTGTCAGCCACCTCAGGTGGTGCCCTGCCCAGGAGGAGGATGGAAGTGGAGCCTGATTGGGACCTGCTCCCCTCTTTGGGGGTCCTCAATCTCTCATGGGCCAGGATGGCTGGCCAGAGCCCGCCGAGATCACACATGCACGTGAATATGCCTTCATTGGCCGAGTGCACTGCAACGGGGCCCAGGGCGCCTTCATCTGCCCCACCTGCGGACAGACTGTGCACCTCTCTATGCCATGGTGGTAAACTATGACAGAGCAGATCATGGCTCCTTCCCTTGAATCAGATCTGAGGCTGGAGTGGAATGAACCAGAAAGCCTTGAAATCTGCCAGAGATGCTGCCGAGGGTCTTTTCAAAACAGCCTCAGAATCCAGCCACTTAGGACCATCACCCCCACCAGCACCTTGGGCCAAGCCCACATCTCCTCTCTCCTGGACCCTCCTCACTGGCCTCCCTGCTGCTCCTGGGGCCTCCACAGTCTCTTCTCCACACAGCAGCCAGGGTGGCACGGAAAAAACACCTCCCCAGGGTACATGTCACAGCCTCCCTCACCTCTCTGACTCAGAACCTGTCCCTCTCCATGGCACTCCCTGCTCCCATCATCAGGCCTCTGTGCCCTCTGCCGGGATGTCTTCCCTCAGATGCCCACACAGCCTCCTGGAGTGGATGCTGAGGTGCCACACAGGAATGTTCCAGCCCACCCAGGGGCCCTGCCCAGCCAGTGGCAGGTGGGAGTCTGTAGATATAGTCTGCCTTCCTCATCCCTTAGCGGGACAACGCCACCATCTCCCGGAGGTTCCCAGTAGGGCCCATAGGTTCATCTGCCGTGCGTGCACCCATTTGGGGTGCTTTCTTCCTTCCCAGGCCCCTTCTCCACCCCTCTCCCAAGATCCTGGGATCACCTGCCAGGGAGACTACTTGCAGGTAGGCCTTGCACTCAGGAGACTCTCATCCTTGCCTCAGGGTCTGCTTCTGTGGGAGCCGAGCCGAAGACACTCCATCTGCCCCTTTCCCTTTAGCAATAATGCCCTGTCTTCCTTCCCCCAGCCTCCACCATTTACTCTCTGTATGAATTTGGCTTAGATAAGTGGCCTCGTACAGTATTGTGTGTGTGTGTGTGTGTGTGTGACTGGCTCATTTCACTTAGTGTAACGTCCTCAAGGTTCACCCACATTGTTGCGGGTCGGCATGCCCCTGCTGTGTAAGTCTGGGTTGTACCCTCTGTGGACAGACCATGTTTGCTAACCCATTCACCCCACATGGACACTTGGGTTGCTTCACCTTTCGCTACTCCGAATAGTGCTGCTGTTACTGTGGGCGTGCAAACACCTGTTCAAACGCTGCTTGCAAGTGTTTTAGGTATATGCCCAGAAGTAGAATTGCTGGCCATCTGGACATTCTATTCTGTAGGAAACTGCCATACTGTTTTCCACAGTGGCGGCACCATTTTACTTTCAAATTTCAATGGTGCACAAGGGTTTCAATTTCTCTGCATCTTCGGCAACCCTTGTTATTTTCCGTTGTTGTTTTATAACAGCCGTCCTAGTGGGTGTGAGGTTTGGATTCGATTTCTCCAATGATTAGTGATGTTCTGCAGATTTTCATGGGCTTAATAGTCATCTGTATATCCTCTTTTTTTTTGAGATGGAGTCTTGCTCTGTCGCCCAGGCTGGAGTGCAATGACACGATCTCGGCTCACTGCAACCTCCACACGCATCCACACAAGGCCTGGGTTCAAACGATTCTTCTGCCTCAGCCTCCCAAGCAGCTGAGATTACAGACACCAGCCATCATACCAGGCTAATATTTGTATTTTTGTAGAGATGGACCTTCGCCATGTTGGCCAGGCTGGTCTTGAACTCCTAACCTCATGTGATCTGCCTGCTTCAGCCTCGCAAAGTGCTGGGATTACAGGCATGAGCCACCACACCTGGCCTGTATATCCTCTTTAGAGAAATGTATACATACAAGTCCTTGGCCTATTTTTTAATTGAGTTGTTTGGGCAGGGGGCGGGGTTGTTGAATTATAGAAGTTCTTTATATATTCTAAATATTATCTTCTCTCTTTTAAATATTTGCCCAACTATTTCCTGCCCAGATAATCCCTGACCTCGTTCTTTAACATGTCGCCCACCTCCCGGCTCACACACGTCCACACACACACACCACAGCCCTCTCCGCTGTCAGTCCTCCTCTGCCTTTAGCACTGTTTGACACTCTGCTGTTGGGATTTGTCTGGTCTGTGTGAGTTCTGCAAGGGCAAAGGTTTCCGCTGCCTTCTCCACTGCAGCATTGCCAGCACCTAGAACAGAGCCTGCCACGCAGTCGGCGCTCAGCAAACGCTGAGAGAATGAAAGGACGATGCAACGGACTCCTGAGACACACTCACCCCTCACATGCGCTGTCTCTCACACCTGCTGGCAGCCCCCATCCACACACACACACAGCTCTCACACTCGCTCAGGACTCCCCACACCACACAGCCCCTCAGGCAGTCTGATACACACAGACTTCCAAGTCACTCTCACCCCACCACATCCCCCTGCCATGCAGAAACGTGCATCCACACGAGGCCATGGAAAGGCATCCCGTGGAGCTGCCCTGACTCCTGCGTCCTCCTGGCCTGCCAGGTGCTTCCCATCCAGGGTGGCCCGCTCCCGACTCAAAGCCTTTGATCTCTCACACATCCCTATATCCGGGACCCCAGCCTCTCTGCAGGGCTTTTCTCACCCTTCACATCAAGCCTGCATGGATCACCTCCTCCAGGAAGCCTCCCAACTCTAGCCTCATCAGGCTCCAGGACCCAGGGGAGGGGCCCTGGCCTCAGAGCAGGGCTGGAAGGAGCAGGGTCTGCAGGTGTGTGTACCTCCCTCCACCACACAGTGGGCGCATGCCATCTTCTGCTGAGGAGCCCAGGGCTGGCCTCACCAAGTCTCTATCTCTGACCTAGAGCCACACTGCTGGCAGAGTGCCTCAGTTTCCCCATCTGAGTCAGGGGTAAGGTCTCTTCAGCTCTGACAGCCTGGGGACAGAGTTAGCTCCTGCCCTGCCACCCATTCCCAAAGTGGCTCAGGCAAAGCCATTCCCTGTGCTGGGCCTCGGCTTTCCCTCCTATGACAGCGGGGCCTCTGGGCCAGTGCCCTGTGGTCACCCCACTGGTAGATATAGGGTGAGAGAGCTCAGGCAGTGCTCTCAGGCCCCCAACAGCCCGTATCCCTGTTAGCGGCCCCAGCATGGCTGCCTCCTGCAGAAGGCAGGGTGGGGACAAGCACAGCAGAGAAGCACTCAGCCTCCTTCAGCTCAGCCCCCTCCAGCCCAGCGTCCGTGGGCCACAGAATTCACAGAGGCAAGCCAAGAGCATCAGAGAGGAAAGAAGGAGAAAGGGAGGGAAAAAGGAAAGGGAATGGGGGAGGAGAAATGAGGGACAAAGAGAGGGAGGAAGAAAGGAGTGAAGGAGGGAGAAAGGAAAAAGGAAGAAAGGACGAAGGGAAAGAGGAAAGGGAGAAAGGAAGGGAGGGAAGAGGGGAAGAAGGGGAGGAACATGGGAGGGAAGGTAGGAAAGAAGGAAGGAAGAAAGGGAGGGATGTGCATAGGAAGGGAGGGAGGGAGAAAGGAAGGAAGAAAAAAGGAGGAGAGGGAGGGAAGGAAGTCAGAAAGGAAGGCCAGCAAGAAGCCATTTATTCATGAGGCGCATGGGGTGGGGATGGGGTTGCAGTCACAGGTAAGCACAGTCTGAGAGGACCAGAGATGGCAGCCACGCGGAGAGGTCTGAGGGCTTGTCCAGGAGTCTCGATACGCTCCCCTCCTTCCTATGACTCCAGGCCGCTGGTGTCAGCATTACACATGGGAGATGAGATGTCCCCAGCACAGCCTTCCCTGGGCTCCCTGAGAGCAAAGGCAGTGCAGGTGACAGAGGAGGAGGTATATGGAGGCAGCAGGATGTCAGCTGAGCACTGCAGCTGGTGGAGTGTGGGGAGAGGCAGCAGCAGGTTGGCGGGAGTGGGCGCCTACCTGGGCAGGAGGCTTAGCTGGCCATGATGTGCTTCACAAATGCTGGAAACAAGAGGAGAGTGAGTGGAGGGGGCGCAACCTGGGGCAGCCACAGCTGGGAGCCTGGGTCCCAGCACTCCCCTCCCAGAAGCCCCGCCCCTGCTGAGCCCACCTTCGTAGTTGATGCAGCCGTTGGAGTCCTCTTGCCCAGCCATCAACTTCTCCACTTCATCTTCCGTCAGTCTCTCACCTGGCAGGAGTGGGAGGCTGAGTCAGCACCATGTGTGCAGAGGCGTGACAGGGTGGGGGTACCCACTGAATCCCTCTAGACGGTGGCTCAGCCTCTCCAGTATTCCCACAGCCAGCATTGTTCACAAGACCTTGCCATCACCCCATTTCTGAGGCCAGGAGAATCAGTGACAAGTTAAGAAGGGCAGGGCTTGGGGTGCAGTACCTGCTGTCCTCTGTCCCCCTAGGCTGGCTGGAGGTCCCTCTACCAGGAGGAAGCCAGGCCACCCTGTAAGCAGTCCCTTGGGGCAGCCCCTTGAGGCAAGAGGAAGGGCTCATGGGGTGGAGTTGGGACCTTAGGAGAGGGTGGTGGAGGGGACCAAGAGACCACCCACTGCTCCCCAAGTCTGGCATTCTCCTGCCTCTGTACTTCTGTGTGTGTGCTGGCCCCCCATCAAAGTCCCAGCCGCAGCTCTCCCTTCCCACCCCCACCTCAAGACATACACACAGAGAGAGGTGGGGGGAGGGAGAGAGAGACAGAGAGAGAGAGAGAGAGAGAGAGAGAGAGAGAGGAGGAGAGAAGAGAGAGAGAGACGAGCACAGGGCTGAAGCAGTAGACACTCAAATGTTCGCTGCAGGAAATAATCACTTTGAAGAGGGACGCCCTGCTGCAGGCCGCTGATGGTGGAGGTGTAAGTGGGAGGTACAGAGGGCCCCACAGAGGTCAGGGTCCTCCCAGGAGCAGGCACTCGACCTGATAGACTACTTAGGGCTGTGGCCCTAGAATTTGACCACCGGGATGGAACTGATCCAATGCACCTTCCCGCCCTGCTCTGTCCCCAGAGCTGATGTCACCCCCTTCTGAGCTGCACCAGCATTTCTCCTCTGTTCTTCTCCTAAATAACATTTCTGTCGCCTGCCACTGAGGCTCCCTAACTGTGTAACTCTCTATTTCACCAATAGGACACAGGCCTGGAGGGTGACAGAGTGGTTTCTCCCAGGATGCCCCCAGAAGGAGTCAGGGTTGGGGAGGAGGCTGCCCTCACCCAGTGTGGCCAGCACGTGACGAAGCTCGGCGCCCATGACAGTGCCATTGCCCTCCTTGTCGAAGACCCGCAGCCCCTCCACGAAGTCCTCATAGGTGCCGGTGTCCTTGTTCTTGGAAATGTGCTGGAGCATGGGCAGGAAAGTTTCAAAGTCCATCATCTTGGTATTGAGCTCTGCAGAGAGATGGTCCCAGGTTCCAGGGTCTAAGTGGGGTGGGCACACCCCTCCCTGTGCCTGATAATGAGGAGCTAGTCCCACGTCTCACACAGTTCCCAAAGCAGTCTACACCAGTTTGCCATTCAAAAGCAAGCTATCATCGCAAGGCACTTTACAGTCTACTGAGCAATGCACTGTCTCCATAGCCCCTTACTGTTCACAGAGGGAATTTGCTGCCATGTGCCACCGCGGCGGGCTCTGCCCGAAACCCCTTGCCCTACTTTTGGGAAACAGTCCTCCCCTCAAATAATTTTCTTATAGATCACACTCCCCACCACCTGAAATTGGTCAGGAATAGATAGGCCAATCAGAGACCTTCCCTGGGACTTTTGAACCCTTGGTGAGAGCCTGGGCCCCGCTCCTTTTTTTTTTTTTGTTTAGCTTGGAAATGTTGTTAGTTAGTTAGTTGTTAGTTATTTTTAGACACAAGGTCTTCTTGCTCTGTCACCCAGACTGGAGTACAGTGGTGTGATTATAGCTCACTGCAGCCTCAGATTCCTGGGCTCAAGGGATCCTCCTGTCTCAGCTTCCCAAGTGGCTGGGACCACAGGCACTGCCACCATGCCATGCTAAATTTTTAATTTTTGTAGAGATGGAATCTCACTATGTTACCCAGGCTGGTCTCGAACTCCTATCCTCAAGTGAGCCTCCCAAAGCACTGAGATGACGGGCATGAGCCACTGCTCAGTCTTCTCGCTTCTCCCTAGGTGTCAGTGCCTATGACCAGGAGGCCTGGCAAATCAACATAGAGCCAGATGTGTTGGCAAACCAGTACTGTTTGCCACCTGGTTAGCACTGCCCTGCGACTGGCCTTGGTGTCCTCACCGGGACAATGGGAGGATGTCAGGAAAGGTTCTCATGCTATCCCAAAGGATGGATGGTAGCCCGCCCTGGCAGCCTTCCTGAGACTGGCACCATAGGGGCTCTCAGACAGGAGCACTAACCTTCCTGCCTTGGCTTCCCCAGGACACGGAGCACCTCTGCCTGTGTGGGGTTCTGGCCCAGCGCCCGCAGGACATCCCCACACTGCCCGTAGGTGATCTTCATCTCACACTTGGGTGTGCGGTCAAACAGCATGAAGGCTTCCTTGAACTCTGCCAGGAGAGGGCAGTGAGCCACAGACACTCCCAGGGTCAGTCTACCCAACTCCCCACACCCCTGGCAGGAAGGACCCTCAGACCAGGGAACCCCAGCCCAATCCTTCAACCCCTGCTCACCTTCAATCTGCTGAGGTGTGAACTCGATCTGAAAAGAGACACCAAAGACTCAGATGCCTGTCTCAAAAGGTGGAGCCATGCCTCCTCCTGGGCACTCCATGGCCAGCCCAGGCCCCAGCCCCTCAGCTATCTCAGCCTGTCCTATTCCAGCATCCCAGCCTGCAACCCCAGGACCTCCTGCAGTCCACCTTGACACCCTCCTACCTCCTTGCACCCCTCCACCTGTCGAGCCAGAAGGCCTTGAGTCTGTGTGCCCCCAGCCACGATGATCAGTGGACCCTGGCGGGGGTAGAAGTGAGGAAGGAGGCCTGGTGCCTGAGAACTCAGGCCAGCTTGGGCCTTACCTGATGCTCCTGGTTCTGGGCAGTTGTACCTTAAGCTGCAAGCCCCAGTCAGGCTGGCTTTGCTTGGGGCCTGGTGGGCAGGACTGTCAGCAGAGAACTGCCCAGGGTGGCAGGACGAGTAAGGGCAGTGGTGTGGGCCAAGGGCTCGTGGCAGCATCGGGGGTGAGCACAGGCATGCAGGTGTGTGTGAGCAGGTGTCTATATGTGTCTGCCCTCACAGAGCCCCTTAAGCCCTCAAGACCAGGCAATCACTCACTGGCCCCACTATACCTATTTCTCACTCACGTGGTCTGTGGGCCCCTGGGAAGCTCCCACACCCCAGGACAGCACAGGGCCAGGGCAATGCTGCTGAGTGTTTGCTGAAGCCACACTGGGGCCATCTTGATTGACATCAATTAAGAGGCCTCCCAGGCTCCAGTGTCCCCCTCCTCACCAGATACCAGGTCTATTTTTATCACTGCAGTCACTTGCCCCAAGGTCAAGGTCATGGGAGAGAAGGGAGTTGGGGGAGGGGCATGACTGTAGCCTCTCCCATGGCTGCTGCTTCAGGGACCCACCAACCTCCACAGTCCATGCTGGCACAGAGGGACACCCTGTCCAGGGCCACCCTGCCGTAGCTGTCCCTCCTAGCTTCTGGCTCCACCCAGCGTTGGAAAGACCAGGCTGTCATTCCTGGCTCTCTGAGAGCTCTCTCAACCAGGAAGCCTGTGGAGATTAGGTTCTCTGGGCTCCTGGCAAATACTCCCTGTCCTTCACCTGCCAGCTGGGGATGGGGAAAGGGGGTGCACGAGGGGTCGCATTGTCACCACCTCTCAAAGAGGCATCTGTGCCAACCTCAGGCCTGGTGAGACAGGATAATGCCACCATGGGCCCTGGCTGTGATCAGAGCCTCACCATGGGGCCTGCAGAATGCAAGCCTGGGATCTGGGGTGGCCAACTCCAGGCACATACACTCTGAATGGTTCCCAGCCGCCCTGCAAGAGGGGACTTACTGGTCTGTTTCACAGCTAAGGAAGCCACGCCTCAGAGCAGCAAAGGACTTGCCAAGTAAAATGGAGCCGAGTTGGGATTTGAACCCGTGCCTTGAAGGACAGGGTAGGTGCCTCTGGGAAAGGCTCGTGAATAGGAAGCAAGACTGGCACAGATGGAGTGTGGGTCTTGCTGGGCTTGCAGGGACAGGGAGGGCTCCACAGGGCTCTTGCAGAGACAGCCAGAGCAGCAGAGGTCCCAGCCAAGAACAGGGAGCAGGCAGGACACGGGGGCCGTGCTGCTATGCAGATGCTGCAGGTGCGAGTCATGGCTCCCTCCAACTTTAGACTCTGAGAAAGGCTTCCCATCTGGGGAAGTCCTGGGGCCACTGGTCACAGCTCCATGACCAGCTTCCTGCACAGCTTCCAGAATGTCCCCACCCAGCTGCTGCCTCCAGTTCCCTACCTAAAAGCTGAGGCTGGAAGTGCTCGGTCAGCTCTGGGCTCAGTGACCTGAGCAAGACCCAGCCTGGACAGGGACGCTGCTTTTTGTTACTCCTCATCTCATCCACCCTAGGAGCGTGTATGGACTGGGGACCCCTCAGCTGAACAAGGAAAATCCATGCCTGGCTCCAGCTGGCTCCAGGATTCCCCAAGGGTGAGAAGTCCAGGAAGAAAGGCAAGGGATAGTCCGTTTCCAAAACCACCAAACAGCCAGTCCAGTCTCAAACTCCAGTCCAGACTCCACCCTTAGTTCTCAGCAGCACCACGGGAGTCCTGCCTAATGTCTGACCACCATCCCTCCTGCTGCGGCCTTTCTGATGCTTGAAGCAGGCGGGGCTTGTCTGACCTCTGCACAGAAGCTTCCAGCCTCAGCTCAGGGCTCACCTCCAGCCTAGCCTGCCTCTTGCTGGGTCCACCCTGGGATCCACTCACTTGCCATGCTCCTGCTGCCACAACCCAGCTCCCATACCCACCTTGATCTTGGAAGCATCAAATTCCACCTCCTTGGGGCGCTCAGGCTCAGGGGGAGGTGCGGGAGCTGGAGCTGGAGCTGCCTTGGGGGCCGCCTTGGCATCATCCTTCTTGGGCTCTGGCTTTTTGGGGGCCATGGGGGTTGTAAGCACAGAGAGGGATGTGGAGAGAATGCAGAAAGCAGGGTAGGTGAGCCACGGCCCCTGGGCCTTTATCCTGCCTGGATACCTCATGACCCCAGCCCCACCCCTGCAGTACACAATAGGGACAGGGCCATAAAAGGACATTGGCTAGGCTCAGGGGCTATTTTGGGGCCTGGGGAGGGCATTGTTAGGGCTCAGGAATGGGTAGGGGAGGAGGGATCTCCATTCCTCCCAGTCACCTGTTGGGAAGGGGGAGGGGGAGAGGAGGACAAAGGCCACGGCTTAACACACACATACACACACACACTCATCTGCACACCCACACAGGGCCTTGCTGCCCTCCGAAGGTCCACAAGTTGGAGAGGTGAAGAAGGCTGGACCAAGTGTGTGCTGTGTGTTGCGTTGGAGCCAGAAGGACTAAGGTGACCTAAGGGCACCTCTGAACCTGAGCTCCCATCGTGCCTCAAAGTCCCCTGTGTCTGTGTCTGTGTCTATGTGGGGGAAGGGGTAGGTCAGCATGTGTGTGTGTCTGTGTCGGGGTGTCTGTGGGTCCGTGGGTCTCTGTGTGTCTGTGTTTGTGTGGCGGGGTCTGTGTACACCTGTCTGTGCTATCTGTGTGCTCCATCTCTATGTCTGCGTGCGGGACGGTCCGTGTGTCTGCATGCTATCTCTGTGGGTCTGGGTCTTTATGTGTGTGTGAGTGTGTCAGTGGGTGTTGCCTCTGTGTGTTTATTTCTGGGTGTTTGTACGTGTCTGTGTGTGAATGTCTGGTATGGCTGGCAGCTGTAGCCCTGACTACGGGTCCAGGAACCCCACAAAGGCCAAGAGAACGGATGCTGCTTCCTCTACTGCAGCCCCCAGGGCCGATTCAGCAGCCTCCCTCTTCAGACCCTGCCAGGCCCAGGGACCAGCCTCTCAGCTTTCACCCCTGCCTTCCTACTTCCCCTCTCTATGGCCCCCAGAGACATACCTTTCCCTACACGTCCCAGGCCTGGCTCCCCACTGCGCCCTCTGCCCAGAGTGCCCTCGCCCCCTCTGCCTGACACATTCAAGGCCCGGCTCTACTGGCCCTCTTCCAGAAAGCTCTCTCCGATGCTGTTCCGCGGCCCCGTGTTGCTCTCTGCCGACCCTTCTGGCAGGGGCTCTCAGACAGTCTGCATCTGCCTCTCTGAGGGACCCCAAACTGCCAAGCAGGGTCTGCCCTTGTTCAAGGATGCTCACCCCCAGTTCCTACCACTCAGTGCCCACCCCTGAGGACCCCAGCACCCACCCTGCAGTGCCCGGTCCTCAGGGCCCAGCCCTCAGCAGATGGCAGTGGCAGAGTGCACCCCTGGCTGGACCACTATTTGGGGAGGTGGGAAGCCTGAGGTGGCACGAGGCTTCCTGCACCAGGACGACCATGGGCGCATCTTGCAAACACATTGGGCTCTGTCCCCTGCCCAGTATCTGCGTCTGGGGGGTAGGAAGGAGGTGCTCCTGGTTATTTTTAAGTGCCTAGAGCCTTTGATAGAAACTTCAGAGGCAGTGCCTCCCACCCCCAGGGATCTTCCTGGTGTGGGGAGGGGCTGAGCCTGAGGCTGAGAGGCTGTGGCGGGGACCAGGGTCTGTACCTGGCGCACCCTGCCCTCTTCCTGCCGGGCAAGGTCCCTCTCGTCTTGTCACTCCACCTCCTGGGGAGGGACAGCAGTCCAGGGCAGGGGCCCGCCTGCTCCTGACTGGAACGCGCTCTGCCTCTCATCTGGAGGGCAGAACACCCCACATCTGGAAATCTGACAACATCCGGGGCTGGAGAGGGGGCAAGTTTTTCACTTTTCTTCCAGATGTTTGGCAAGAGTATTGAGAAAGAAAGGGGTGGGGGAGGGTCAGTAGAGACGAGTCAGAAATACCACAGGAGGAGGAGACAGCCAGAGGGCCATGCAGACCGCCCCGGGAGGCCCCACTGCCCAGGCCTGCCGACCCTCAGGACAATGGGCTCTGGAAGTCACACGGGGCCCCCAGCCACCCACAGACACCACCACCAAGACCAATTTCCTTGTGTTCATCGTGAGGGAAGCGGAGGCCCAGGGCAGAGGACATATACAGGCCCCTCTCCCATCCATTTCTTTCATCCTCACACAGCTCCCGTCCCTTGGAAACCACCCAACATCGGCCCAAATGAGGATAAGTCAGTGACAAGAGCGTCCTGGGCCTCAGTGTCCGGGTCTGCCGCCAGCCAGAGCCACACAGTGCCGCCTTCCTCCACCTGCGTGGCAGGGGCAGGGCAGTGGCTCGGGCCCCTCCCGTCACACCCAGGGTGGATGTGCTCCTGCCGCAGCATGCGTCTGCTGGCTTGGAGCAACAGTGGCCAGGGCTCACCCCCAGGCCCACCCACAAATCTATAACATCTCCCCAGCCCCCAGTAGGGACTCTACAGGACCAGCCAGAGCTCTCCCAGGCACACCAAGGCAGGGAGCAAGGCAGGGGGTGAACAGAGGGCAGGAAGGTGCTCAGGGAGTAGGGGGTGGAGGGAGGGAGGGTGAGCAGCAGTGGGCAGCAGGAAGGGCAGACTACACCACGCCTGGCACCTCTCTCCCATGTCCCAGCCTGAGCTTTGTGCCCTTCAGGAGTCAGCCGAGCAGGCAGGATCTGGGCAAGGCCTCAGGGGTCTGGAGAGCTGGGGCTGGGAGTCTAGGTCCTACCCCTTCAGCTTCCGAAGCTCTGGTGTCTGAACTGCACCCCAGTGTGCTGTAGGCTGGCACACGCCATGTCCCAGAGCCTTCTCAGGCAGCCACCTTACCTCCCCCTTCCCCCAGCTAAGAGGAATGCAGGAAGAGGTGGGCCTTGAGTTCTGAGGGGCCTGTGGACTTCGGCAGGAGAGCCTGGCCATGCCGGCCTTCTTCCAGGTTGCTGTTACCTGGCTGCTTCCGTGGGTAGCCAGGAAGCAGCCGTCACAGGAGGGAGGAGCACTCTGTTCTTCCACAGCTGCATATTCCCAGGACCTGGCACACTGCAGGCACTCAATAAACGCTGGATGAACAAGTGTCCCAATATCTCAGTTTATCTTCCTCTCACAGAGGTAGTGGAACCCCTTGCTAAATCCTGTCCCTGGAGTGGGCCCAGAGAGAGGGGAGATTTGTTGACTGACTGACAGTGCAGAGGGCACTGTGGGACAGTAGTGTAGCCAGCAGCTGCCCCCAAGCCCACCCACCACCTCCCCATGCCCACCCCAAATCAGGCGTGCTCTTCACAGCCTAAAGAGGTGAGGGCGACCCCCGTGGTACAAGCAGTGACTGGATTGTGACCCGCCAGCAGGGGGCATAGAAGGGATGGGAACTGAACTTCGGATCCTGAACTCAAACCCCAGAACCCAGGATCCCAACCCAGACCCCAGATCAGGAACCCAGAACCCCGAGCCCAGACCCCAGACTCAGGTCTCACAATCTGAGTCCCAAACTCAGAACCTAGAACCCAGATTCCAGGATTAGACCCCACTGTGGAGACCTACACCCGGATCTTGGCACCCAAACCCTGACCCAGACCCCAAGACCCAGGATGGCAAACCAGGACCTTCAACCCAGACTCTGGAGCCCAGAACCCAGACACAGGACCCAGGATTCTAAACCCAGACCCGATCCAGGACTCAAGCCCCAGGACTCTAAATCCAGACTTCCAGGATTGCAAACCCAAATCCCAGACCCAGGACCCAGGACAGGGGCTGATGGATTTCCAGATCAGCGTGGGCCTGTGTGGACAAGGCCAGTGGGAGGGGCACGGGGGGGGGTCACACTCCTGGCAACAGCGGGGGTAGCTGCTTGGCAGACCTCCCTGGTAGCATTCAGAAGAGCATGAAGAATGTCCATCATCCTGTCAGAGCCAGTTTGGGGAGCTCAGACTGTGGTTACCACGTGGAAGGGGGGCAGAAGGAGGCAAAGCCCAGCTGTACCCTGAGCCCAAGAGCCAGAAGTAGGGGAACAGGGGTCGGGCTCCCCACGTGCCCTTGTCCCCTGGGCCGCAGGCTCCGCAGGCAGCCCTAGCCCGCCCTGGCCCGCCGAGCCCGCCCCTCCTGGCCCACAGCCTCTGGGCTGGGACGCAGGCCCACACTTCCCGGAGGAGTCGAGAACACAGCCTGGGCCAGACCCAGAGCCTTAGAAGTAGGTCAAATGTTGCCTCGCAGCAGGTCCTGGGGACCCTGTCCTGGTCTGGGCAGGCCCATGGGCTGCAGCTCACTACCAGGACCCACTTGTGTATCCTGAACCCACAACCACACACTGGGCACCCATGAACACAGACCCCACGCGGCACCCCTACGTCCCTGCCCAGCTGTGCAGATCGGGAGACCATGGCTCCAAGGAGGCAGGGGCTGCCCAGTAACTCTAAGGTGGCACAAGGCAGGCATAAGGACCAAGAGAAGGAGATGAATTTCTACACTCTCCCAGGTTCCTGGAGCCTCGGATGAAAGTCTGACTCCTAGCAGGACTTCCCAGCAAGGCCACTCTGCCACCAACAGGATGTGGCCCACCTCCCAGAGGTACAATCCCCGGCCTTTAGAGATGGAAAAGAGTACCCAAGGGGGAGGCAGTGGACTCTCCATGCTCCTGTGACCCGGGCTGGTCCCTGCTCCTCTTGGCCTCAGTTTCCCCACCTGTACCATGGCCATGGGTAGGGCAATGTGATCCAGGTTCAGAGGAGAGCCTCTGCCCCTGAGTCCCAGCCCATCCTCACTACCCCCACACCACACACAGACAACTCTGTCCTCGAGCAGGCCAAACGCAACCCTCAAGCCCCTCCCTCTGCCCACTGTGCTGACGGGGACCAGATGCTCCAACCTTGTGGTTCTGGGGTGGGGCGGCGGGCCCAGCGGGCTGGCAGGCAAAGCCTGGTTTTGGCCCAGGGACCTATAATCAGCTCCTGCCCCTCTGATCCCGGCCCAGGACTGACGCTTGGGGCTGTGGTGTCCTGGCCGGCTGTGGCCACGGCCGCTATATTTGGGAGCGCAATTCAGCATGAGGGAGGGGTGGACAGGCAGGAGCCTCTAGGGACCCAAGTCTCATAGGGGACAGGATGGGGACAGCATTGGCCAGGCTTGGCCCATTCTGGAAGGAGGGCACAGCCCTGACTTCTCAGGGGCCTGGACTGGGGGACCTGAGCCCCGCTCTCAGCAGCTGGTCTCTGGAGGGAGATTGAAAAGGTGTCTGAGATACTGCACCCCTGTTTAGCCCAAAGAGTGAGCACCCATTGGGTCCGCGCATTCGGGGTACGTGAGATGGAGTGGGGCTGTGAAGGGTTCGTGGGAGCTTTGGAAGGGTGAGGTTTGTAATAGTGGGATCTGGGATGGGAGGAGGGGGTGCCGATGTGCTCATCAAAGATGCTGAGAAAACAAAGGCCTGGGGCTTGGGTCAGGAGGAATGGAGCGAGGTGCAGCCCTGAGCCCCAGCTCCCCAGCTCTGCCTGCTGGTCCAGCTTCCGGACAGGGCCCAGCCCCTCCCCCAGCATGGCCTGTGGCCTCCCTGAACTGCCCTGGACATTCCCTGCCACTGGGCCAAACCCTGTACTCTCCCACCAGCAGTTTCCCAAAGAGCAAATATTTATTGTCCTTGGAAGAAAAAAAAAAGAATCCCCTTTTAGGATTGGGGTCTGGGAACCGCTATTGAGGTTTGCAGGGGCTCAGCAGTGGCCTGAAATGACCAGAACCCCACCTAAACGGGCTGAGGAAGAAAGGAGTGTGCACCACCAGCCGGCCTTGGAGGAGAGGGCCAAGGCTGCCCTGGGTGCTGGGCTGGGGTTCTGCCTAGCGCTGCACCCTGGGCCACGCTCCCTCCTCCCCTTGCCTCTATTTCCCCAAGCCTTCCTCAGAGTAGGTGTGAAGATGTGCAGACACTGCCACACGAGGTGTGAACGTGTGACTGGACGGGTGTGTATGGTCTATGCATGTGTAACCGTGGACACGAGGATGGGGCCACACATGTGACTGTATGGGAGCATGTTGTCTTGGGTGCTTCCGTGTTTCTCCGTGGGCACGAGCATGGGCATGAGTGTGTCTGTATGCCCCTGGCTCTGTGTGCGTGCCTGTGAGCCTGTTCATCTGTCGGCATGGGCGGGGAAGGGGCATGTGGACACAACCTCTGTTGAATGGCCAATTCAGTCAAAAATGCAAGCAAATTTAGCAGGGGAAAAAAAACCCGTCAGTCAGACGAGGAGTCTGAATTGAGTGGTTGTTTGAGTGGATGGACCGACTGTCTCAGGCAAACAGTTCACGCTGGCTGGGAGGAGGAGCCGGCTCCCCGGGGCCATCACGGAGAAACTGGAGACAGGGACCCTTGGCTATGGCAGAGGTGAGACACAGAGACTAAGACAGAGATGGGAGGATGGAGAGAGATAGAGAAAGGTAGAGACGGGGCAGTCAGAAACGGGGGAGAGAGGGTCGGTAGGTGGGTCAGGGACCAACGTTGCCCCAAGGAAGGCTGCAGCTTCCTGGCGCCTGCAGACATACACGCACGCCCTCCTGTCATCCCTCACCTCGGCTCACAGCCGTAGTAACACAAATTCATTCCCACCTCTCGCCCATCCTCAAGCAGCTCCAAGTAGACAAGGAGCAGGCGCCAGATCAGGATGCAGTAGAGAGGGTGGACATGGGCAGCTGGACAGAGGGACAGGATGACAGATGAAGAAGGCAGTGCTGAGGACAGCAACAACAGTGGTGGAGGTGAAGACAGGAGGGCAACAAGGAGGCAACATTGGTGGTGACAGTGAAGGAGTGCTGGCCGGGAAGGCCTCCCGGACCCCTTGCAGACCCCATCTAGCCATGGTGGCCCCCCACACTCAGGGCTGTCCCCACTCTGCCCCACCCAGCACCAGCTGTGGCCTTGCCTCCAGTGGCCGTACAAAAATCCTCTGTCGTCCAGGGTGTGGATGCTGCATTAAAAACGGCCCAAGCCCCCAGCCAGGAATAGTTAGGGTCAACCGTGGTACCTGCCTGTGTATTTATATATCCACCCACCCAGTGTGGCCGTATCTGAAACACACACACACTATCCCCAGGCAGGCTAACCCGCCCCTGAAGTGTGTCTGTCTGGAGAGACCCACGGGCCCCTAGACACTCCCTATTCCACCTACTCCACCTTTGCCTATTCCCTCTCCACCAGTACTGGGACAGTAGGAGTCACACTGAAACGTGTGTGCTCACACGTAGCCTCCTAGAGCCTGCAGATGTGCACTCAGGAACCCTGGCCCGAGGGAGCCTGGGCCAAGAGCAGGCAGGCGATACCACACACCTTTACACAAATATTCTCATGCTTCATAGATACCTTTGCATGCATGTTCACATGACTGTGCACACATATCCATAATCCTTGCACACATACATGTTTACACACGTGTACACACACAGTCACATGCCTTTGCAAACACATCCATGGACTCTCCCACATATACCTAATGCACCACACCTTTGAGCTCACAGGTATAGAAAGAACACCCAGGTATAATATCCAGGCAGAAATGAGCACTGGGAAGGAGGAACAGGGATGAAGGCAGGTGAAATCAGGGAAGCCTACCAGGCCTGCCTGCCACAGTAGTGTCCACCCCTGCTTGTGTGTGAACGTGTGTGTCCAGACTCTTGGGACCTTTCCACTGCCTCCTCTGACCCCACCCCACCCCGCTCCATTCACAGAAGGGGAAACAGAGCCCCAGACGGAGTAGCTGAGTGGGGAGGTCAACGTCCTGGTTTGGGGCTTTCGAGCCTCAGCATCTGTGTTGTTCTTGGCACATCCAGGCCAGATAAGGACAGGGTCAGAGCTTGGCTCTCGTGGGAAAGGACTCTCTGGAAGGCTCCCGACCCATTCCTTTCCCAGATCTTGGACCCCAGGGCAAGCAGAGGGAAGACAAAGGGGAAGGAGGGATGGTTGGGGGACAGGCAAGCCCCAGTCAGGCCAGCCTTGAGGGCTGCGGGGAAACAGAGCAGGTTCAGAGACTCGCAAGTATCCAGGAATATAGAGTAAACCCCTCGGACTAGCACAGGGACCCCCAAATGCAGAGCCTAGAGACGACAGGGAAGGGTGAGGCAGGAGGCCAGCTCTCTGCAGCATCTGGCCTTGGAGCCCTCTGCTCCAGGAAGCCTCATGAGGTTTTAGAGCCAGGGCTGAGGTTGAGGCCTCTGTGCCCGAGAGGTCTGGAGCTGGGAGGATGGTAGAATGTTAGGAGACACTGGAGTGTCATCCTCCCATCCAAAGCAGATGACGGTACAGGTCCTGGGACTGGGGTTGGGGTGGCTGGTGACAAAGAATTCAGTTCTGGTGCTGGCCCCATCACTGACTGCTGGAACCTCTCCCCATCTGGGGCCCTCAGTGTTCAACCTGCACAGTGGGGCTGGTGGCCTCAGCAGGTGCACAGTCCTCCCAGTGCAGTCAGGGTGGGGCATCCCTGGACCTCAGTCTCCTCCTTCCCCACTGCCTCAGCCTGTGCCCCTGGCCAGGTCTCAGTGATGGCGAGAGGGCTGGAGCTTGAAGCCAAGACAACAGGGAACAATTGGCTGGAATTCTGCGTAAACACAGGAGCTCATCCAAGGCTGCAGATGAGCTGGGAGGGGCTGGGGAGTTCCTGTGCCCCCAGGGAACCCTGCCTGACAACAAGCCCATTCATCCAAAGGGGGTCTCTGCCTTTGGGAGTCCTGGTCTAAGAACATAAGCAGGACAGCCTCTGTGGTGGATTTAGCAGGGGATGCAGGAGACCCCTCCCACAGCCCACCCCCAACCAGCATGCTCACGTCCCCTGTCCCGCCTAGAATCCTTATAGATGCAGCTCCCAGGGGAAGGAGAACAAGGAGAAACCATCATCCATTGTGGCTGCCAGGAGCCACCACCACCTCTCAGGCGCTTCCTCACCCGACCTTGGGGTCCAGAGAGAGGACATGCCAGTCTCCCCACTCCCACAGTCTCACAGTAGCAGCTGCAGGGACAGCCAGGCTGCTCTGGGATGGGGGCTGAAGGTGGGTCCTCACTGCTAGCACCAGGTTCAGCTCCTGTCTCAGGGTTAGGCTCCAGCTCAACCCCTGGGGCTGCTCCCTGGCTTCTGAGAAGCTGCCGTCAGGCGGATTCCATCTCTCAAGGCTCTTTGGAGGAAAACATTCCAACTAGGAATGACAGGGATCTGCTCATGAGGAAACTGAGCCTCCCCACGACAACTGAGAGATGAAGAGGTGAGGGGGTCAGGTGTTTGGAATCCACAGCTCTGGTCAATAGGTATGCCCTCCCCCAGAGATGGAGGTTTCTCAGCAGAGCCACAGAGATAACCCAGCCCCTGTCCTCAAGGACTCGCCGGCTGCTGGGACAGAGGCAGCAGCATATCATGCCACGCTACATTTTCTAGTCAAACCAAGAGGTCTGAGGTCTCACTCTGCTGGGAGTTGAAGGGTGCAGATCCAAGAAGGCATCAGAGAGGAGGGAGCCTGTGGAGGGCATACAGGAGCCACCCAGGCTGAGAAGGGAAGAACAAGTCAGAGGGCAAGAAGTGCAGGGCAGAGGCCGAGTGCTCAGGGAGGGTTCGGGGAATGGGAACACAGGGCAGTGGGGCCAGGCAGGCAGTTGGCTCCCCAAAACTCTCGAGTCTCTGCATTTCCCAGCTGAGCCCGACACATAGTAAGGTGCAGGCAGGGGCCATGGAAGGCGGGGCTGAGCTTGCAGAAAGTGTTCCTCCTCTTCCACGGGACTGACCCCACTGCCTCCACCTCCGCCTCCTCCATTTGCGAGGTCATCACTTCCTTGCCTCCTCTGCCCCCAAGGAGCCCTCTGTGGTTGTGCTTGGGTTGGAAAATTGGTGTGGAGCCGCTGAGTTGGAGGAGCAGAGGGGTCACCCTTCCATCTTGAACCCAGCTCTGCTCGTTGGGCCAGGAGTGGCTTCCAGAGCCAGGATGGCCCTGAGCTCAGTGCTCCAGTCCCCTGCCTCCACAGCCCCCACACCAGCTCAGGAAAGGAGTGCGGCGGGACTGGAGGAAGCCTCCCCAAAAAGGCCACGACTGGGTCCAGAAGGCAGAGAGGCCCAGAGATAGAGCAGAGGTCAATGCAGGCAGGATCCATGTGTGTGACTTTGGGCAGAGGCCTGACCTCGCTGGGCCAGACCAGCTGCCAATGTCCCCTCCAGCTTCAGGGAGGCCTCCGAGTTATGCATAGCCACCTCCCATTATGCCCAGAACCTCCTCCGCACTGGCGAACCATCTGTGCCCAGTGAGAGCCCTCTGGCCTCTTCCGAAGAGGCTCACTTCAGAGGGCATGGGTGTCAGGAGGCCTGGAGACGTGCTCTGGATGAGTGGGGTGACCTCTGGCAGGCCATTGCTCCTCTCTGGATGTTGCTTTCCCACACACGGTTTTATAAACTTTCCCAGTGCTTCCCCTCTCTGGCCAGTTCAGCCAATGTCCACGGTGCCCCCGGGCCAGGCTCTGTGCAGCATGCAGGATGGTCAGGCAGATGCAGCCCTGATTCCAGCTCTAGAGACGTTCCCAGTGTCCGCTAGCTCATTGCCTTGCCCCGGCCAATGTCCCCTGAGGCATTTAGAGTGAAAGGAAACTGAGGCCCAAAGAGGTGGCCCGGTACAACCAAGGACCACCCACATAGAGGGTTCCTCCAGGCCTAACAGGGCAGGAGTGTCAGGACTAGGGGTTCTTCACCCGAAGTCTCCTGGCCACAGCCCCCGGCAAGGACCCAGTGTCTGAGCTAACAACTAACCCCCTCCCCACCACCTCCTCCTCCTTCCTGGCCCCCACCTCCCTTCAAACCGCAGGGCCTAGCCGGCCTCTGGAACGCGTGCCCGGGACCTCGGTGATATTTTGAGTTTAAGAAAACTTTGCAGTCGGCAGGAGCTCTTAAAGGTTATAAATAGCAGCAGCGGGAGCCCATGCCGGGAGAGGCGGAAACACGTGTCAAACACGCCTGGGAGGGGGTATTCCGAGGCACAGACCCCCCCACACACACTAGGGACGCACCAGGCTTCTGGGGATTTTACAACCACTGGAGCGGGAAGTCACACTCCACCCAGAAGGTGTCTGGGAAACAGGACCCTCTTTGGTCCCCTACCAGGGTCTCCAGTGGCTAGCCAGGTTGCCCCGGCAGGCAGGGGCACTGTTAAAAGGGGATCTGGCAGGGAGGCCTTTCTCCTACCCCACTCCCCGCCACCATGCCACCAGGGATCACCCTCAGAGCTGCCCTTGGGAACAGCAGGGCTAGAGGTGAATTTGGAGAGAGTCCACTCTAACCCGTCTGTGGCACTGAAGACCTGGACGGGGACAGAACTGTTTCAAGGTCATGGGAAAGCTGGACAGGGTTTGGACCCCCAGGCCACAGTTCTTCCCACTGAACACTGCTGCAGCCTCCCTTTCGTTTCCAGAGACCACCGGACAGTGCTCTCACTCACCCAAAGAAACCACAAAGATGTACACAGAAATGACAACACCCGACACCATGGAGAAGCAGACCCTAGGGCCTCAGCCCGCAGCATCCCATCCCAGTGCCTCCCCTTCCGGTGAAGATCTCCTGTTGAACAGACCAGACACCCCCCCTGCTCCAGTGTTCCAGTGGGATGCACGCCCACGCCCACCCTGCCAGCAAGTGGACTGTCAACAACCCAAGGCCAGGTATGCAGTCTCAGCAAGGACAGCAGCTCTGGTTCAGGCAAAGCAGTCTCAGCCTTGCCTTGAGGGTCATGCGATTTGAGGACATGCCCTCAGAAGCCTAGTCGGAGGAGACACCTTCTGGGGCCTGATCTAAGAGAAATCAGTATTGACTGGCCCATGGCCATGGAAGGAACCCTCCAACCTCCACTGCCTCCCTGGATTTCCCAACTGCTCCACAGAGTGCATGGGGCAAGAGCTGTTACTCCACTGCACATAACTGCAGACTCAGGCGTGTCTCAGGTTCCCACCCATTACCCCACTCATGCCTCACTCATGCCCCACCTGCTGCCCACGGCCCCCAGCAGGTCTGGGGGCGGCAGCCAGCCTTGGCGTCCAGGCATTCTGAACCTCAGGGAGCCCCAAAGGGTTTATGGGGCTCCCAATGAATGGGAGCCTGTTGAGCTCAGAGGGGGCCGGGCCCGAGTAAACATGGCTGGGTCTGAGCTGCCATTCTCCCCCGGCCTCTTCCCCAGGACCCAGGACCAAAATACAACTTCCTGTCCCCGGAGCTGAGGGCCAGACTTGCCCCCCAGAGTCCTGGGCTGGGGCCCACAGGAGGGACACAAACCGGCAGCGCCAAAACTTGAAGAGAAAGGACTTAAGGTTTTCAGATTCCTAGGTCTGCCTGCATTTAACACCAAGTGCTTGGGCACTTTAAATATCCCCTTGGAGCCTGAAACTGCCCATCTGTGGACAGCAGATCAGGAAACTGAGGCCATGAGCAGGAAGGGGTCTGGCTCAGGGCTCCACAGGTCAGAGCAGAACAGGCCCCAGCCTCCTGCTTCCCTGGCCAGTGAGGACGGGTCCTGTGGGCAGAGCAGGGCAGTGTACGTGGACTCGGGAGGGAGAGACTCTGGCGTTCGAGAGCCAGGGCAGCAGGGAGGCTTGACAGAGCATAGGGGAGCTCTCCCTCCTTTGGGCACAACTGCCCACTGTCCCCCGCTGGCCTGGTCACAGAATGGCCTACGTGTCCTGGGATACCCCTTGGAGCAGTGCATTTCACAGTAGCTGGGACAGGAGCCCTGTAAGCGCTATTTGTCATAGTTCTGCTATGTCCCCTGGCCAGTCCATTCTGCTCTTTGGTCCCGTTTCCCCCACCTGGAGGCCAGGTATCACCGAGCTCCCTGCCTCCCTGTCTAACTTGTGAAACAAAACGTACTTTGGAAACTCTAATGAGTGGTACCCTCCCCAGGAGCCTGGAAGACCCAGGGAGGGCGGCCCTAGGAACGTGCCCAGTGGCTGGGGGTGGTTGGGGCCAGCTGCCTCACATGCAGGGCGCTGGGGGCTACAGCTGGAATGTGCTGAGTAGCAGCTGCCATGTGAATCATTACACCTCATCAGGCTGAGCCTAGGACTTCCAGACACAAACCAGCTCAGACTGGGCTCAGGCAAAAGGGCAACCTCCAGCCGGGTCACAGGGCCCGGGGTGAGGTTTCCAGGACCTTGCCAGGGTCTCTGCCTCCCTGTCTGCCCACATCTTCATCCTGAACAACCAGCCCTGGTTCTGAGCACAGCTCATTCTATAGACCCACAGAAAGAGGTCATCCTGTCTACAGCCCCCTGTCTTTGTGACCTGTGACAGCTTAAGCAGACCCTGAGCCTGGGAGGGCCTGGGAGCAGATAGAGAGGGCTTCCTGGCTGGCTCCTCACCAGAAGCCCACTTTCCAGTGGGCAAGGAGTCAGATATGGGGTGGCAGTGGGGCTGCAGGGGTCAGGACACGGGCTGGAGTGGAACCACAGCCCCCATATCTCTTCCCTCTAGGAGCCACTGGGTACCCAGTGCTGGCAGGTCAGGCCTTCTTGGGCCTCATTTTTCCTGCCTGTGGCATAGGAATGAACAACCTCCAGCCCCTCTCTGATTTCTCTGGGTGCCTTAAACTTGACTGAAGTCACTAGTAGGGGCTGTGTTCACACCTTGTGGTGCCCTGATATTCCCAAGATGTTGACAGGACCAGAGGATCAGACAGAAACACAGAGACCAGGAGAGAGGCATGGCAGGGCAAGGAGAGGACTACTGAGCCACACAGACATGCCTGGCGGCTTGAGTGGGCCCGCATACCTGGCAGGCAGACCCATGGGTGCTGAGGGGAGGGCCCAGCCTAAGGCATCTGAATACTGGCACGCTCTGATCTGCCTCTGTTGCCTCCTATCCCGGACTAGGGGTCTGGGACAAAGTCCTGGACCAGTGTAGGGCTTGGTAAAAAATAATTAATTTTTCTTTTCAAGTGGAAGCTCTGACTCAGGCCTTTTCCTGTCCCCAGCAACACTATCCTTGCTTAGGCCTGAGCCACAGAAGCTGCCCAGGGACTATCCATGGCCTCCCCGTGGCCAACTTGAGCCTGCCCTGCAGATTCAGGCCTGACTTGGGAGGCCCTCAGGCTTCAGGTGAGTGGGGGCCAGGGGACCCTGGGGGCCTGAGCACAGCTGGGAGGAGCAACTCTTTGGTTTCCCAGGGGTGAGCATGTAAGTACCTGGGCCGTGCTATGGGGCAGACATGTCCACATGGAGACACATCTGTGGACCTAGTGTTATGACAGCAGAGGCTTGTAACCATGAGGCCAGCAGGGACAGAAAGCCCATGCCTTTAGCTCCTTGGGAGCCTTGGGAGTCCTCCTTGACTGGAACAGAGCCTGCCAGTCCCAGGTGCCCCCATCGTCCTCCCTTCACCTTTCTGAGAGGCAAGAAAGCCAGGCAGCCATGCTTCTGCTGCAAGGGGAGGGGGCTGCCCAGCCAGCTGCCATGGGAGCCTCCAGCAACTCAGCCGGGTGTCAGGGGGTGTTTATGAGCAGCCGAAATGGCTGTAAAAGTGGCACCTCACTTCACTTATGGCCTGGCTATACCCTCCCCTACTGGCCTCCTGCCTCAAAAAGCTTCCAGAGGGGCCTGGAAGCCGAGAAAGGTCTGGGGTTGAGGTCTGGGTGGAGACACAGCCTGGGGTCAGAGTTCAGCCACGGGGAAGAAATCGGATTAGGATAAGAATTCAGCCCTAGGTTGGGGTTCATCATGGAAACAGAGCTCAGTCCAGGATCAGGGCTAAGCATGGGATGCAGACTTATTTTGGGGCTAGTGCTGGGATAAAGCATTGGGGGAATATAAAGTCTCAGAAATAGATGTGAGCCATTAGTCCCAGAGAACCCCTGGGTCAGCAAGGGGTTTTCTAAGAGAGGCCAGGCTGCATTGCTCAGAGAGCCGAGCCTCTGCCTTTCCTGTTGGTGTCTGATGCCCACCCTGGCCCCAGGGTCTGTGTACCTTGGCGGAAGCCCTACTCACAGTGGGATGGCTACAGCAGAGGCCTGTCAGCCTGGGGTTGCCACACCAGCAGGGGTGGGGCCAGAGTCCAGCTCTTAGTGCAGTTCTGAGATCCAGCAACCACCCTGGCTCTTCCTCATAGGTCCCAACCTGGGGATCAGAGACAGGGACTCACTCCTACTCCCCACCCCAAGCCAGGCCTTTTCAAATTCCATTGAAACTGACCTGACACTAACCAGAAACTGACTCTGGGCCCCTGGGGCCTGCTTGTCAAAAAGGGCAGGCTGATTTTGCCAGGTGCTTAGGTGCTACCAGTTAATGTGTGACACCAATACCCTCACCCTCATGGTGGCACTTTAACCAGAGGCCTGAGGGTGAGGGAGAGGATCTATGGCCCCACCCACAGCTGTGGAATGTCCAGCAGGGGACTCTGGGGTGAGGCACATGAATTATGGCAAGGGGAATGCCCTTAAGAGGCCCAGCGCCCATCAGAGTCCTCTCTGCAGCCCTCTACACAGCCCACCCTGGTCCTGCCAAGTACAAATATTATGTTTCCAAATCTCAAGTTTTCCCTGGTGTCAGATCTGAAAAGAACTCCTCCCCATCAGCCCCTAGTTTTACCTCTCAGTCCTTCCACTCCCTCCATTAATGTTCTTTTCTCATCACCAAGACGGAAAGCAGGGTGGGAGGTCAGCTGTCATAGAAACATAAAACGTACAGACACCTAGAAACAGAGGCATAGGCCAGGTGCAGTGGCTCATGCCTGTAATCCCAGCACTTTGGGAGGCCAAGGCAGGAGGACTGCTTGAGCCCAAGAGTTGGAGACCAGCCTGGGCAACAAAGTGAGACATCGTCTCTACAAAAAAAATTTTTTAATTACCTAGGTGTGGTGGCTCATGCCTGTGGTCCCAGCTACATAGGAGGCTGAGGTGGGAGGATTGCTTGAGCCCAGGAGGTCGAAGCTGCTTTGAGCCATGATTGTGCCACTGCACTCCAGCCTGGGCAACAGAGCAAGACCCTGTCTGGGGGCAAAAAAAAAAGGCTGGGTATGGTGGCTCATGCCTGTAATCCCAACACTTTGGGAGGCTGAGGCAGGTGGCTCACTTGAGGCCAAGAGTTTGAAACCAGCCTGGTGAGCATGGAGAAACCTCGTCTCTACTAAAAATACAAAAATTAGCTGGGCGTGGTGGTGCACACCTGCAATCCCAGCTACTCAGGAGGCTGAGGCCAGAAAATTGCTTGAACCCAGAAGGCAGAGGTTGCAAGTGAGCTGAGATCGTGCCACTGCACTCCAGCCTAGGCAACAGCCCTGTCTCAAAAAAAAGAAAAGAAACGGAGGCACAATAAAGCTGAGACCATTAAAATATAACTGAAGAAGCACAAGTGTTCTTTAGGTCCCCATTCTGGCACCTGGGCCTCTGTCCCAAGGAGCCCACATACCATAGGAGGCAGCCCTGAAATTACAACTTCCTCCCCAGTAATGGAGGATGTGGGCACACAAGAGAGAGGGGAATGTCCTTTACACCAAGCAGAGGAGTGTGATCCTAGCAGAGGAAACAGCAAGGGCAAAGGCAGGAGAGTGGATGTGTGGAGAAGGCCAGGAGTCTAGCAGGCAGTTCCTGTTGGGGAGAGTCATTTTTGGAGGAAACTCTCAAATAGCACAGCCCTTGAACACCAGGACAAGAAACGAGGGCAGTGGGCACAGAGAAGGAATACAGCCACAGAAATGTGTGGGAAGGGCCTGATCCAGTGGTTCACACCTGTAATGCCAGCACTTTGGGAGGCTGAGGCAGGTGGATCGCTTGAGATCAGGGGATTGTGACCAGCCTGGCCAATATGGCAAAACCCTGTCTCTACCAAGAAATGCAAAAATTAGCCAGGTTGGTGATGCATGCCTGTAGTCCCAGCTACTTGGGAGGCTGAGGTGGGAGAATCACTTGATTCTGGAAAGCGGAGGTTGCAGTGAGTGGAAGTTGAAGTGAGCAGAGATCATGCCGCTGCATTCCAGCCTGGGTGACAAAGTGAGACTCTGTCTTGAAGATGAAGAAGAAGAAGAGGAAGAGGAGGAAGGAGAAGAAGAAATGCATGGGGAAAGTACCTAGCTAGGGGTGCAGTCTGGAAGCTGGATAGGCTTGAGCCAGGAGAAGGGTGGCAACATCTGGATCCTAAACCTTAGGGCCTGGGCTTGGCAGATTCACACTGAGGGTTGGAGGGCAGGTCTGCAGGCTCTGAGGAGCTCAGTGTCCACAGGCTGAGTCTGGAGAGCCCCTGGAGCCCATGGGCCAGGACGCCCAACCTCGTGGATACTAAACAGGAAAGTTAACATTGCCTTTGAATCAGCTGGCCAAACTCTCCATTTTGCAGATGAGGAAACTAAGATCCAGACAGCTGAAGAGTGGTAGTGTCCGAGACACAAGATTGGTGAGCAGGCAAGCACAGGCTGCTGCTTAGCCCAAACGATATTTCCCAGGTCCTCAAGCATTGGCTTCCTCCCCCATCCTTAAAGCCCTCCACTCCAGGCATCCCCGGCCCCTCCTTCCGCCTCAGTTTCCCCACCTGGTACCGGGAGGGGGTAGGTTTGGGGTCAAAGGGTCCCTCCTCTTAGAGCTCCAGTGTGCCCTCCCCAGCCAAGCACAGAAACCCCGCCTCGTTCAGCCCCAGCCCCCGAGGACTTCTCCCTGCCTTCCCCTAAGTAGAGGGTCCCAGGCAGATCCGAGCCCGCCGAGAGTTTTGGGAATAGGGGTGGAGACGGGAGGGAGGTGAAGCCCTAGAGTGGGTGTCCGGATTGAGCCCCAGGTCTGGCAGCCTAAAGCCGCCGGGGTTGGGGCCGGGCGAGCTGAAGAGGCCCGGCCAGCAGCCGAATGGGTCGAGACTCGGAGACTCAGAAACCCAGACCCGAAGAGCCGCTGAGCAGGGAGGGAGCGGGATGTGTGGCTGCAGACCTTGGCTGGGGTCGGGGCCGGCCTACCGCGGAGCAGAACGGCCGGCCTAGGATGGGACTGAGGCGAGGGTGGGGCTGGACGTGGGGGAGGGCGGCGGCGGCCAAGCCCGGGTCCGGGCTGGCAGCCGAGTGGCCTCCCCAGGGACCCCGACCCAGCCCGAACGAGAGCTCAGCGCACTGACAGCTCCGCGCCGGGGGGCGCGCGGGGTACCCGGCGGCCTCCCTAGGGGATTCGCCCGTGAAGAAAGAAGCCTTGCTTCTCGGCTGAGGGTCCCTATTAGCCAGCGGAGGCCGGATGATCAGAAAAAAAGAAGAAAAGCCCGTGCTTTCCAGAAGAGAATGTAGCGGCGGCGTCCCGGTTCCCTGCTGGGGTCTTGCTGTCACCGCTGCCCCCGCCCCGTCCCCAGCACTCACATCCCGCCGCCATACGACCCCGGGCCTCGGCCTCTAGCGCAATGTCCCGGGGCAGGGGGCGGCAGGCTCCTCTTGGCCTCTCCACACTCCCGCGTCGGCGGCGGCGGAGGGGGTGAGGGCGGGAGAGGCCCGGGAGGGCTCGGGGGAGGGAAGAGGCGCCCGGCCGGGGGGAGGGGAGAGGCAGACGCCGAGGCGAGGGACGCGCGCGGCGGGCGGTGGCTCCGAGCGGCGGCCGGGCGGGGGGCGCTGGAGGCCAGGCCGGCCGGGGTGGGGATCCTGAGAGCTCCATGAAGTCCCCCCGGGGCCGCAGACGGGGCGCTGGCTTGGGGAGGCTGTCGGGGGGGCCCCGACATCCATGGCAAGGCGGGGGCCGCGGCGGCGCGCTCAGAGTAAGTCGGGGCTGGGGACCCGCGCCGAGGGGAAGTGGCGGGAGTCGGGGAGGAGCGACTCCGGGCCTGACCGGGGCAGCCAGGCTGCTCTGTCTCGGTGTCAGTCGGCGGCGCCTCCTCGGAACCCAGGGGAGCCGCCAGCCCCGCGCCGCTCGGCTCGGTGGCTTTTTTGGAAACTTGCAAATGTTTTCGTAGAGAGAGAAGTGGGAGGGAGGGAGAGAGGGAGTGACCGAAACGGAGCTTGGGGCCGCTGGAAGAACTGAGGCCAAGGCCGGGGGAGCTAGAGACGGACTGACAGACAGGCAGACCGACAGAGCGTCGGGGCCGATGGCGCGCCCGAGCCGCACGGGCGCAAGCGGGGCTCGGGCCGAGGATGGGGAAGGCGTGCGGGAGGCGGCTGCCGAGGGGCTGGGTCTCGGGAGGCCGAGCGGCCGGGGGCTGGCGGCCGGAACACCCAAGGGTTCAGTGTGGCTGCAAAGTTGGGATCGCGTTCCCTAGCTGCACGCCCCGCGCGGCTCAGAACGCGCCCCCTGCCCGGTCCGGACTTGCTACGGGCGAAAGCCGCAGAGCTAAAAATAACAGTCCTTTGCGCCCCCAGCAGACCGCGACCCCGACCCCTCCCCCCACTGGGCGTGGGGCGAAGCCACAGCTCCCACTTCCCCAAAAGAAAAAAAAAAAGAAAGAAAGAAAAGGCGGCGCGGGAGGGGGGCGGGGGGCGGGCCGGGGGCGGGGGGCCCGGCCATATGGATGTGATTTCTCCGCTCGGAGGCAGACGGGCCGCTCCGCAGCGATCGGCGCCCGCCCGCCGCCCGCCGGGCCTCTGGCTCTCCCTCCCTTCCTCCGGTCCCTCCCTCCCTCCTTTGCGCTGCTCGCTCGCTCGATCGCCCTCAGCGCATGGGCCCCGCGCCGGGCCCCGGGGCCTCGGGCCGCCCGGACGCCGGGGTCCCCTAGGCCGGGGCGTGGGCGGGGCGGCCGGCCTGACGCAGCTCTGCACCCCCTACCACCACCAGGGCCGGCGGCGGCGGCTGCCCCGAGGGACGCGGCCCTAGGCGGTGGCGATGGGGGCCGCCCGGATCGCACCCGGCCTGGCGCTCCTGCTCTGCTGCCCGGTGCTCAGCTCCGCGTACGCGCTGGTGAGTCCCCCGCCGCCTACACTCCGGGACGGGATGCGGGCTTACCCTGGGGTCCCCGGGATAGGTCTAGGGCACGCAGTCTTGAGTTCCCCCTGCAGTTCGAACGTTGGGTGAGAGTCCCCTCTGATCCAGGATCCTGGGTGCCTGCTGTCTCTGGGATGTCTGAACTTCGGGTTCCAGCTGCCTGAAGCCTCCCTATTTCTGAAGCCTCGTTTGGAGTCCCAGATCTGGAAATTTGTGGTTGAGGTTTCCCCATCCTCTGCCTCTGTGAGCACCATAGCTGTTTCTCCCTGGAAGATGACAGTGTGACCCAGCAGAAGGCTGGGCTTTGGCCCTGCCAGTACTCCCACAGACTTTGCTTTGAGGACCTCTGTTTTCTGCAAGTTTTGTTGCAATCCCAGACATAGAGAATGTAGGTTTGAGGTCAGAATCATCCAGGCAGGGGGTAGGATTTAGGGTCCCCCTCCAGCCTTCACACACACACACACACACACACTTTCTCATGTCTGGCTTTAGCCAGGGTAGAAGCTGTTTGCCCGAGGAGGTGGGTGTGGTGTGGCATGGAGGAGGGATGGAGGTCCCTGAAGGAGACTGACCTCACAGTGCACCCCTGTAGGAGAAGCACAGCGTACCCCTGTAGGAGAAGCACAGCATACCCTGTCAGGAAGTGAGGAGACCCCTGGGAAGACTCGCTCCCTGAGAGTGGAGACCTAAAGGCAGAATGGTAGGGAAGGGTTGAGGGAGAGGAGAGACAGAGACAAAGCAGCTTGGGGAGGAGAGATCCCAGGAGCTGGAGTGGTGAACAGACCAAGAACAGCAAAGAAAAATAGGAAGAGACAGCTGGAGGCAGAGAGCTGGAGACAGAGCGGGCAGCACCTCCGCTTCCTGGGCCAGGGTCTAGGGGCCACTTTCTGGGAAGGGGGCTGTCCCAGCCCCTCAGTCCTATCCCATAGCAGCCCGTCCCAAGGGACCAGCCCGTTCTTGAGGAAGCTGTCTGCCTGCGTGCCTAACTTCAAAGCCCCTTTTCCCAGCTCCCCAGTCGGGGCAGCTGCCTGCTGGGGAGCTGGATAGGCAGGCTGCCTCCGCCTCCTGACCAGCAGCAGCTCCCTACGCAGCGCAGAGCTCCAGGCGGGAGGCAGGAGCCTAGGATTCCTCGCTTCTGTACGATGCCTGTGTAAGCCTGGGCTGTCCTCCATGCCTCAGTTGCCCCATCTCTAAAAAGAGTACCTGGAAGAAACATCTGCCTGAGAATCACATCATCAGAGGCTCTCCCTTCCTCTGTGGTCCTCAGCACTTCCCACTTACCTGTGCCTACACCCCCACAATTCTGGCCCCGGCAAAGGCTTCCCACCAAAGACAGCCCCATACAAGGCCTTGTGGATGGGGAAACTGAGGTTCAGAGGAGCTCAACACCCTCTGCAGAGACACTCCAAACACTGATGAATGCCAGGGGATAGAACCGCCCTCCACCTCCCTGGGAGTTCGGTTTGTGCACACATATGCATGCATGTGACAGTGTGAGGGGTAGACAGGGTAATGAGTATGGGTGTCCTGAGCGTATGTATGTGTCTGTATGGGTGTCTGTATGTCACAGCGGGGCTCTGTGGGACTCTGGGCATGGTGTTTATCTGTGTCTACGTGATTGTGAGTGTCTGAGTCCCTGTGTGAGTTCATGGGTCTGAAGCTGTGGGTGCGTGACTCGAAGGCACATAGTTGTGTTTGTGTGTGCCTTTGTGAGCCCCTGTGCACCGGGCCTATTGTTTTCTTATGTGTATTTCATAAATGCTTCTGTAGGGCTTTCTACTTGCCATTGTTCGAAGCCCTTCGCATATATTAGCTATTCTAATCTTCCCAGCCACCCTCAGAAGAAGGTTATTGTCCCCATTTTTTAACTGGCCGGAATCACACAACCACAGTGACCATTATTTATCTCATGTCAACCCAGAGTCAAGCCCTGTGCCTCTTTGGGCAAATGGATGAAATGAGAAAACAATTTGTGACCTTTTCTATCTCAGAATCTGGGGACAGCCACTGTTCTGTACATGTTGGTTTCTTCCTCTCTTTAAAAGCAAGCCACATGGCTGAGCTGCCCCTGTGTAGGGGGAGTATGGGTACCCAGAGCCCCACTGCTCTCCAGGGGAGCTGAGGTATATGCAGAGAATCTTCCTGGCTTCGCCCTGGCCCATGTCTGAGGGTAAAGGGAGAGATGCCAGTGCTGGGTCTGCCTAGGACCCTGTTGGGGCATGTGAGTTCACTGGACACTCCCTGGCTTCAGGGCTGGAAGATTGAGACTGAAGGACGGTGGCAGCCTACTCACCCATCCAATATCCTACGGGTCCCCTGGACTCATCTGGGGCCAGCAAGGAGCTGGCAGCCTACCAGCTCCCTCTCCTGAGCCCAAGGGCTACCCCCCCGCCCCACCCCTTTAGAGCTGCACCTATGCCCTTCAGGCCCATCAACCTTATCTCACAGCCAGTCACCAAACCTGTATGCTACCTACCCAGCTGGTCCCAGGACCAGCTCACATCTCCAGTGACCTCACATTTGGGGTCCAAAGAGCACCCCATGGGGAGGACACTGGTAGCCAGACTCAGCTGGTCCATCTTCTGCCATACAGGAAAGAGTTACCTAGGAACATGGCGGTCTTGCAGCAGGTGGGGGTTGGAGGAAGAAATGGACCCACAGATTGTGAGTAGGAGGCAAAGGGCTACTCTTGTCCTTGGGGTGCCTCCTCCTAAGGACATCCCCAGCATGTACACAGGTAGGGGAGAAACTGCAATGAGAGAAGCTGGAGCTCAGCATGGGACAGGCCTTACGTGTGGAGATGAGACCGCTGAGTAGACTCACAAGAGACTGTGGTGAGGACGCACAGGCTGGGAGTGTGTAGGACCTTTTCTAGCCTGCTCCAGGGGCAGCGCAGCCATGTTGCTTAAAGACAGAAACCAATGTGTACAGAACACTGGCTGTCCCTAGATTCTGAGATAGAAACTGTCACAAATTGTTTTCTCATTTCATCCATTCGCCTGGCCATTTCTGTTTGTTTTTGAGACTGAGTCTTGCACTGTGCCCCAGGCTGGAGTGCAGTGGCACAATCTCGGTTCACTGCCGTCTCCATCTCCTGGGTTCAAGCGATTCTCCTGCCTCAGCCTCCTGAGTAGCTGGGACTACAGTGTGCGCCACCATGCCCAGCTAATCTTTTGTGTGTTTTTAGTAGAGACAGGGTTTCACCATGTTGACCAGGATGGTCTCAATCTCCTGACCTCGTGATCCGCCCGCCTAAGCCTCCCAAAGTGCGGGGATTACAGGCTTGAGCCATCGCACCCTCATCCAGCCACTTTTATGGGAAAGAGCCCTGAGAATCACACAGTGAGTCAGTGGCACAGCAGGATTTGAACCCAGATCTTTAGACCTTTGCACTGAATTCCTTCCTGAAAGCAGCATGAGATTTGCTGCTGGCAGGAGATAGTCATGTCTCACTCTGGGTTTTCTCTCTTTCTTTTTCTTTCTTTTTTAAAAATTAAATCCTGGCCAGGTGCAGTGGCTCACGCCTGTCATCCCAACACTTTGGGAGGCTGAGGCAGGCAGATCACCTGAGGTCAGGAGTTTGAGACCAACCTGGCCAACATGATGAAACCTCATCTCTATTGAAAATACAAAAATTAGCCAGGCCCAGTGGTATGTGCCTGTGATCCCAGCTTCTCGGAAAACTGAGGCAGGAGAATCGCTTGAACACAGGAGGTGGAGGTTGCCATGAGCTGAGATCGTGCCGCTGCACTCCAGCCTGGGTGACAGAGTGAGAGTCTGTAAGAAAAAAAAAATTAAATCCTTCTGTTATTTTCTTATTTTTAACTTCATAACTGATATATGAATATGTTCCTATAAAAGAGTCAAGCAAGTCTGTAATCGCAGCCACTTGAGAGGCTGAGGAGGGGGAATCGCTTGAGCCCATAAGTTCAAGGCTGCAATGAGCTATGATGATGCCACTTCACTCCAGCCTGGGCCACAGAGTCGAACCCTGTCTCTGAAAAAAACAAAAAGAGTCAATTAACAAAAATTAAACAGCAGCCCTCCTTGATCACGCCTAAGCCCCATTCCCTTCCAGGGAAAACCATTTTTAGCAGTTTGAGTAGAGGAGCCTTCTTCCTCTTTCTGTGTGTTTCTCCTCTTTGTGTACATATCAAGGAGATAGTTGAGTTTTGTGATTTTCTATTTGCTTGGTTGATTGTTCTTAAATAAATGGCATCGGTTTCTAGATAGGCCTCCGCCACATATATATTTTGACCTAAAGGTGTGTCTTAAAGATCTTCATGTCAATAAATATGAATCTGTCTTTTTAAATGCTACATAGTATTCCAAAATCTGGGACTCATTAAGTAGTCCATAGGAATGTGCGTTTAGATCATTTCTGCACAATTTGCATGTGTGTCTGTGTGCGTGATTCCGGATGGTGGCAGGGAAGCTCCTTGAAATGCCCTCTGGTGACCCCATGTGACTGTTTCCTAGTAGGATATTTCTAGATTTTGTCATTGCTGGGTCTGAGATACACATTTTTTATTTTAATAGCATGACCAAATTGCCCTCTAAAAAGCTTGTGCTGTTTTATACTTATACAACACCAAGGCTGACCAGGAGGGTCTCTCTCCCATGCCCACCATCTCACAGGATGTTAGGAGGATTCTTTGCGTTTCACCTTTGTGTGGATAGGTGAAAAATGGTGTGCCTTGTCATTTTAATTTGCTGATTACCAATGACTTCTGGGCTTTACAGTGGTTTATGATCCATCTTCTAAGAGATCCTGCTCTGAGCCATTAACCATACTTCTATGCCTTATTTGTCTTTTTCATATTGATTTGGTGAAGCTTTTTATGTCACCTGCCTTTAAACACGTTCCCCCCAGCTCTTGAAATGGCCTATGGACAGAGCAGTAGGAGGGGGGCCAAGCCCTCCCAGGAACTTGGGTTTTCTTCGGAATGTTTTAATGAGGCGTCAAGTAGCCTCCCCCAGATTCCTGTTGTGGGCCTTCTGGGGACACTCCCGGGTCCAGCCACCACATCAGGAAGGCAGCTATTTCAGGAGAGTCCTCAGGAAAAAGAAAAGGTGGGGCGAGGGTTTTGCAGCCCTCTGAAATTGTCTGCAAAATACGGTGTGACTGGAAGAAGGGCGCAAACGTTTGCCCAGGTTAGCAGAAACATTAGACCTTCAAACCCTTCAAAGCCCCAACTCTGGGGCCAGTCTTATGCCCGAGGTGAGACCTAGTGGGATCTCATTCTGTGGAGCAGGCGATGGCTAGATCAGGCCATACTGTTCATCTGGGCCTTGATTCCTCAGCCCAGGTAGGGGCTGCTTGTGAAGATCCACCAGGTCCTAGCAGCCAACTCCGCTATCCCAGGCTCCATCCCACTGCCTGCCCCAAGGCGGCCACGCTGGCTGGCCAGGATGAGAGGCGTCGCAGTGCCTCTTCCCCCCCAGGCCCTCCCAGCCCCAAACACAGGCAGCCTGTTCAGGAAGGCCTGGTGAGGGGGAGGAAAAGTCAGCACTTGTCAGCGGTGGCGGGGCAGAATGAGGAGCCTGCTCAGGCCAGCCGGACAGACAGAGGGCAGCAGGGGTGGGGGAGCAGTCCCAGCCAGCTGGCATGGGAGACATCCAGGGGTGCCAGCATGGGTCCCAGTAGTAGAACCTGGAGGAGGGCTGAAGGAAGGCCAGGAGGTCATGAAGGGGTCTCTTGTTAGCCAGGGTTTTCTCCTTCTGGCTGTGCTGGAGGCATCAACTGCCTTGTTCCCAACACCAGGGCCCAGCTGTCCTCTATCCAGTTAGTCGAGGACAAGCTGCTACCCACCTCCCCTCCTGAATCAGCTTTGGGGAGGCTGCCTTAGAGGGTCTGCAAAAGGATACTTGCTTAATGCAGCAGATAAAATCCAGGACTCCGGAAAGGTGATGATCTGGCTGGTGCCAGGGTGTCCGTGTGGTGGGCACTTCCTCTTTTCTTTCCCTTCTTCCAGGGCCACTGCCTCAGTGGCAAGTGGATCTTAGCTCTATCCCTTGCCCTCCTTTTTCTAACTGACTCTTGGCCTCAGTGACCCTGTCTATAAAATGGGGGTGTGGTAGAAGGTGCAGGGTAAAGCTCCTTGTTGACCATGGAGAGGATATACTATAGTGGGGGTGGGGGGGATTGAAGCCAAGCGCTGTGAGGTAAGTCAGCCCTTATCAGGACCAAAGGAGGAGTGCCCACCTGGTGCAGGGCCGGGTGGCTCATGTCAGTGGTGGGTATGGACTAAGTGACCCTGGCCATAGCCCAGCTGCAGTCCGTCAGTCCTCAGCCCGGAGACCCAGGATTTGCAGATCTGCTGGATCTAAGAGGATGCAGGTCTGAGTTGTCTGCACCCTGGAGCTGGGCCAAGAAGACAGGCGCTCATCAAGGGGGTGGAAGTTGGAGGGCCGGGGAGAAGGGAGTAGCAGACAGGGGGCATGCCAGGCTGAGATGAGTTATGCTGTCAGCATTTTCCCCTTAATCCCCAGGAGATAAGGCCTCCTCAGCCAGGGCAGAGGCAGAGGACAGGGTCCATTTTCCACCTAAGCTCAAATGTGCGGGCTCTGGCAGTAACCTTGAATCCTAATGTAAGTCCAGGGTGGATCCAGAAATGCAAGGAGCCATTGGGATACCCTTCCATCCCAAAAGCTTGCCTGGTATACCTTATCTGGCAGATCCTCCTGTAGTCCCTGCCCCCAGTCCTCCCTGGGGTCCCACCTCCCATCTGCCCCTCACTCTCAGCCCCTGGACTTACACTTCCTATCGACCCACACAATCTCCCCCTGCCACCTTGGATCCCTGGCCTGGAGCACCCATGTCACCAGGCAGCAGGGGACACATGGCAGGGGTGTGACTTGCTGCTCACAGTGTCAACAAAAGCACCAGCGTTTCCTGCGCTTCGCCCCGTGCAGGCTTGTTGGGCAGTCCTTCATTTAATCTTCACTACAGCCCTTTTGTTTTGAGATGGAGTTTCACTCTTGTTGCCCAGGTTTGAGTGCAATGGTATGATCTCAGCTCACTGAAAACTCTGCCCCCTGGGTTCAAACGGTTCCCCTGCCTCAGCCTCTCGAGTAACTGGGAGACACAGACATGTGCCACCACACCCACTAATTTTGTATTTTTTAGTAGACAGGGTTTCTCCATGTTGATTAGGCTGGTCTCAAACTCCCAACCTTAGGTGATCCGCCTGCCTTGGCCTCCCAAAGTGCTGGAATTATAGGCATGAGCCACCGCACCTGGCCAACAACGGCCCTATGATTACCCTGATTTTACAGAAAAACTGAGGCACCTGAGTTAAGCAACTTTCTCAGACACGAAGCCAGTCAAGGGTGGCGGTGGGATTCATGCTCTGGGGCTGGTGGCAGAATCTCCTTGGAGAAGAGGGTACACCTGGAGGGAAGAGTGAACAGGATTGAGGGCATTGCAGGCACAGAGCTGTGCGCTAAGGTTTGGAGAGGGGACTGCACTTGGTGTGGGGTTGTCCTCCTTTCCTTAGGAAAGTGCTTCCTTAACTCTGACCTGAGTTATTCTTGTTGCAATGGCTGTAGGCTAACAGAGAAACAGATCCTAAAGTTCAGGGAGGCCAGAGGTGGGGCCACCACCCCTGTGGATGAATGAAGGAGTGTGAGAGCCATGCGTGCTGGAAGCACATACCTTTCCCTTTCCTGAACATCCCAACTCCAGAAAAAGAAGTGTGCCTCCTCCTGGCCGTGGAGAAGGTAAAACCAACAGCGTATGTAGAGGCTGAGCCAATTCCTTGAGCCGGTGAGGGATGTGTTGATCAGCTTTCAGTAGTCAGTCTGCCAAACGGCCAGTCAGTTTTCAACCCATGACTGCCTGCCTGGAGTCTAGGCCATCAGGGGTGCCCTCCAGTCCCATCAGTAGGCTGGTCTATCTGTTGGGAGGCCCGGTGAGTCAGTGAGTCTCTAGGGATGGGTGGGAGCCTCTGTCAGTCACTCCAGAGTTCTCTATCAGCTGGAAAAAATATGGCAAAATAGGTTTGTCTTTAGAGAGGTGGAGATGGCAGGAGAAGAAGGGTACAGGGGAGGAGGGGTTAGACAACAAGATGGCAAAGGTGGTGTAGACGGTAGTCACTGGGCAGGTGGCAGATTGGTGATGGTGCTAATGTTGCCTTGGTGATGCTGGTGCTGTACCAGTTGTGATGGTGCAGATGGTGGTGATGGTGGTTACGTTGATGGTTACAGTAGTGCTCATGGTGGTGCCAGTGGTTGTGGTGGTAGTACTGGGAGAGACCTGTATGCTGGTGTTGGTATTAGTGATGGTAACGATGGTTATTGATGGAGGTACTAGTAGCAGCAATGGAAATGGTAGTGAATGGGTGCCGTAAGTGGAGCGGGGCAGGGATCAGCCCCTCAGCAGCATGGATCCGCCATGTCAGAGGCAAAGGGAGAGCTTCAGGTTAGTTGGAGGCCCCTGGATCCTGGCAAGACCAAGTTGTGCTCCCTTAAGCCCCATCATTCTATGTCTACCTCTGTCCCAGCCGGCTCAGCCATAGCTGTGGAGGCAAAGAGACTAGGATAGAGGAGCTGGGGCCAGCTGCCAGCACGTGGGGATCTGTTCCAGCTCTTCCTGGGGTCTAGCTGATATCTCAGGGTCCACCTCATCCCCCAGAGGCAACAGAACCACTGGCCACCCACAGATGCAAACGCTAAGGAGCTGCCGCCCCACTCACAGACGCACACACGCTGCCCTATGCCCAAAAATACCTGTGCACGTGCACGCTCACAAACACGTCCATCTGGCGTCCCACGGTGACATGCCGGACAGTCCCCGCGTGAGAACGCGCACAGATGGACACACACGAGTGCATGCGCCGGCCACACTCGCGCATGCGCAGGGATGAGCATGCGGCTCCGCTAAGTGGAACCAGCAGAACCCGAGGCTGGCAGAGCCAATTGGAGACTCCTTGGCCCTGGAAGCCCTCGCTGCTGCCGCCAAGAGACGCGGTCAATTAACTTCTCCCTGCAGCCAGGCTCCCTGACCCGGCCCGCCCACCCCGTCCCTGGCCGCCTCCTTCCTTCCCTGCCCCCTCCGAGTCCTCCCGCCTTGCACAGCTACGCTTGGACTGCAGAGCCCCAGCCCCGCCACGGCAGGTCTGAAGGATGCGGCTCTGCCCCGGGGGGCTGAGGAGACATAGCCTTTTGGGGGACCGGTGGAGGGGATCATCTCAGGATACAGGCCCAGGGGTCTGAGGAAACATGGCCCTGAATTAAGGGGGTTGGGGCTGAGGGCTTCACAACCCCGCCCTGGGGAGGTTTCAGAGGCCGCCTTAACCCCTGCAGGTCACACTTATGGGAGTAGCTGGGCCAGGCACACCAAGCTGTTCCCCTGCTGTCTTCACCCTGGCTCCTTGCCTCCCAAGTCAGAGGCTTACACCCCTCAGCAGCCACCTGCTCTGAGTGAGCCTCCACCCCCATGATGTTTCATGTCCTTTCCTATAATGAGGCCAGTGAGTCCCGGTGGGTGGCAGCCAGGGCCCATGGTGTGCAGGTTGGAAGGAAGGGAAAGGACATTCCAGGCAGAGAACAGCAGGAGTGAGGGCCTGAGTGTCATCAGAACTCAGAGTCCGCTTGAATGGAGGGAATTCTCAGATCAGCAGTGGAGAGGGACTCCCACCCACCACAGCCAGCCACAGCCAGCAGTTCCTCCACCCTCTCCCTCTCGGGATTGTAAGGAGGGGAGGCACTCACCGTTCACTGGGGAAAGCACTGACTGGGGACCTGAGCCAAGATGGAAATTGGTGACTCCTAAGGCCCCCCCAGGGTGCCAGAACTTGAAGGAATCCAGGCTGGGTTTGTCTCCCCAGAGCTCAGGACTCCTTATCCAACCCCTGCCCCCGACTCATGTCCCCAGCAGGCAGCCAGGATCCTGTGTGGATCCATCCTGGGACATTCCATTCCAGTCCCATGAACCCCTAGGGAAAGGACTGGGCAGAAAGTATCAGTGACTGCAGCCTACAGGGTTACTGGCAGGCAGGCAGGAGACAGCTCCCTCCTTCTTCCCTTGGATCAGGCAGGCCCCACCCCTCAGAGCCACAGTTTCCCATCTGTGAGGTAGGAGCTCCATAGAGCAGATTTCCCACATGTGGGGAAATCCCACCTTCCCTCTAGAGTCAGGGCCTTTTGAAAGAGGGTAATCACTCTGGGAAATTGGGATGGCTCTGGGACCTGCTGCGCTGGAAAGTGCTGCCTGTGGTCTGACCTTCGGCTTGGCAGGTGGATGCAGATGACGTCATGACTAAAGAGGAACAGATCTTCCTGCTGCACCGTGCTCAGGCCCAGTGTGAGAAACGGCTCAAGGAAGTCCTGCAGAGGCCAGGTGGGGGTCAAAGGTGGGGGTCTGGGGATGAGACCAGGTGAGGGAGGGGCCAGTTGAGGGTGGGACCCAGGATGCAGAGCCAGGTGAAGGCTCTCTGTGGGAGTGGACTCAGGTAATGGGAACCAGGCCAAAGTGAGGACCATAGTGGGGTGGGTGGTGCAGGAGTGGAGTCAGCAGGCTTGGGCGTCCTTGGCTTGTCCTAAGTCTTTTCTTTTTCTTTTTGAGATGTAGTCTCACAGTGTCCCCCCAGCTGGAGTGCAATGGTGCGATCTCGGCTCACTGCAACCTCCACCTCCCAGGTTCAAGCGATTCTCCTGCCTCAGCCTCCTGAGTAGCTTTGATTACAGGCGCCCATCACCATGCCCAGCTAACTTCTTTTTCTTTTTGTATTTTTAATAGAGACAAGGTTTCACTATGTTGGCCAGGCAGGTCTCAAACTCCTGACCTCGTGATCCCCCCACCTTGGCCTCCCAAAGTGCTGGGATTACAGGTGTGAGCCACCTTGCCCAGCCTGGCTTGTCCTAAATCTTAAGCTCAGGTCCCTGTGTTGTCTACCACTAGCGCTCAAACTGACGGCTGTCAGGTTAATCTCATCAACCCAAAAGGCTCAGACTCCAACTGACTGATGGAGAGGGCAGCTTCCTCCCCTGACAAGCCCTTAGGGCTCTGCAGGGGTCAAGTCTGGTGCACGCCCAGAACACAAGCACACAATGACACACACACTCTGTGGCACATACATGGGTTTTGCTCACACTCACAGACTCACATGGTCTCTGCAGTTACAGCCCCACCCATGCTGGCCCCAACAGTGGCTCCCAGTTGCATTGAGATCTGGGGGGTCAGGTGGACCCCCTCGCTTGGGTCCTGAACCCAGCCCCTCTTCTTAGTTGTGGAAGCCTGAAGGGTGCCCTCCCCATACACCATGGAGCCTCTCTCTTCCTACTTTACCCCATCTTGCTGCCCACATCCCCACACTGATGGCTGAGGGTGGAGGCAGGAAAATAAGCACAGTCATTCTCGTCCCAGTCCAGGCTGCCTGGACTCAGCTTCCCATCATTGCCACAGACCCGACATGGGAGGGCCAGGGGGCCCTAGCTTGGGCTGTGGCTGAAGCAATGCAAGTCAGAAATGAGGAAGACTTTGTGACTAGGAAGAAAGACCTCCCCAGCCCGGGCAACATAGTGAGACCCTGTCTCTACAAAAATATTTAAAAATTAGCCAGGTGTGGTGGTGCACACCTGTAGTCCCAGCTACAGGTGAGGCTGAGGTGGGAGGATCGCTTGAGCACAGCAGTTTGAGGCTGCAGTGATTCATGATCACATCACTGCACTCCAGGCAGGGCCGCTGTGGAAGCTGTGAACCACATATTCAAGGTCCAGGGAAGGGGATGGGTGGACTTCTCTGTCCACTCTTTTTTTTTTTCTTTTTTGAAATTTTTGATTTTTTTTTTTTAAAGACGGGGTTTCACCATATTGGTCAGGCTGGTCTCGAACTTCTGACCTCAGGTGATCCGCCCGCCTCAACCTCCCAAAGTGCTAGGATTACAGGCGTGAGCCACCGCGCCTGGCCTCTGTCCACTCTTGACTGTACCACCTTGCTCTTGTCTTCTCCACCAGCTTCTTTACCTGCACAGCACTCAGGCCAGACTTCGTTTTCGCTGTGTGATCTGCCCATTGACACCTCCACCCCTGTCTGCTTTCACCATGCGCCCCCTGGTGGGGCCTTCACTGCTGCGTGGCCTTGGCCCCCACTCCTGAGTCCTGGGTGGGACAGTCCACCTCTGCTGTCTTACCCGAGTTTAGCCCCCGCCCCACTAGCTGGCCCTGCACTCCCATGGTGTTCACTCCCATCCCAACCCCAGGGGGCAAGCTCCACATCCTCTTATTACTTTACCTGGCAGGCACTTCACACTTTGTTAAATGTCTCCTCACCCATCCTCAGATCTCCCAACAGCCTGCGTGTCAGCAGGGCAGGAGACAACCCCCTTTGTACAAAGCGGGAGTCTGAGTGCCCCGGGTCTCCTGTTGTAGCACAGCTGACAGCCATCATTCCTATCCTGGTTTCTCCAGCTGACATAATGGAATCAGACAAGGGATGGACATCTGCATCCACATCAGGGAAGCCCAGGAAAGATAAGCCATCTGGGAAGCTCTACCCCGAATCTGAGGACAAGGAGGCACCCACTGGCAGCAGGCACCAAGGTATGTCTCTATTTCCATGCATCCAGCTGGCATGGCCTTGGACCTGCACACCCCACTGCACTGTCCCCGTCAAGTGAGCTTATGCTTCTTGGCTCTTGTAGAAAGTAAAAGGCTGCAGCCCCATCCCCAGGCAAGGGGCTGGGTGAAGAAAGAGTCTGGTTGGGAAGGAAGGGGAGTGGATGGCTCAGGCCTCAAAGAGAGATGAACAGAGAACTCACCCAGAACCACACCAAGAGTGGACCCAGGGCTAAAGCCCCACCATGGAGAGAAAGGGAGACGACAGAGAACCCTGGGGGACAGAGAGGCAGGGAGAGATACACAAAGACAGAGAGATAGTGGCACATAGAGAGAGACAGGGAGAGACAGAAAGGGAGGGAGAGACAGTCACAGAGACAGAGGAGACCAGGAGGCACACCCTGAATGAAGTCTGGGGCTCAGTGTGTCCAAGGAGGCACATGGGGACACATAGAGGGGAGGGCCACAGAAATAGAGGAGAGGAGGGCAGTGGCAGAGGGTGGGGCCAGAAGCAGTGGGACAAGGAGGGAAGGCGATGAGGAGAGGCAGACACAGAGCCCAGGCTTTGGCCACAGGGCTGGTTTGAACCAGCCGGGTGGGCAGCGGATTCCAGATGGGCCACATCTGGGAGGCTGTGGTCACCCTGTGGCTCCCTGGGGACCAGAGGGAATTGTGGGCCTGGCTGGGTGGGGCTGGGAATATGGCGCCCAGGACAGAGAGCCTTTCACCAAGCCAGGGTGGGTCCAGCCATCAAGGCAGCCTTCCAGTGCGGCTGGAGAGTCCTGTGGTTGGAGCCCTGCAGAGGGGGAGAAGGAGGCTGCAAGCTGGGAGTGGAATGTGGAAGATCCAGAGGCTGGGGACCCTCCAAGTTCACTTAGCCTCCCTGCAGTGAGGCTGGGGCTCCAAAGTGGGTTGTCACGCTGCTTTGAATGCCACCATGAGCACTTAGATTTGGGAAATTATATCTCCCCCCCATCAATGGCCATGGGAGACTCACAGCAGGTACTCAGGGCAGGCACTGGGTGGTGGTAGAAGCATGTGCCAATGTGGTTAATCCCAACTTCCCAATAAGGAAATGGAAATAGAAAGACTAGGACACCTGCGTGAGGTCAGCAGCTCTTTGGAGTCCAGCTGGCGCTAGAAACCAGGCCTCCTGCCTCCTGTCCATGGTCCCAAGGGAGGGTCACACAGGGAGCCTCCCAGCTGAGGGAGTGTTAGTTTGGGTGTTTGCCCTTCTTCAGGGACACCAGGAGGTGCTTCCAAGAGCAGTTGAAGAGGTCAGGGATGTGCTGGATGACCTCAGCAAGTCACCTACCTCTCTTGGCCTCTGTCAGCCTATCTGGAAAATGGGCCAGTGCCAGCACCTGCATTGTACAGTCCATGGTAAATTCTATGAGGCCAGATGGATGCAGGGCACAGAAATATGTTTTCTCCAGAATGCTCCAAAGTCTCAATTTTCCTGTCCTGGGGCACACCTGTTCCTGCAGAAACCAGCAACAGCAGATGTGTTCATCCCTCTGGGTCACTAACCATGACCCTGACACTCCCTTGGTATCCCCTACCCTGTCTGTCTCTGGGCCCAGGGCGCCCCTGCCTGCCTGAATGGGACCATATCCTGTGCTGGCCGCTGGGGGCACCAGGTGAGGTGGTGGCTGTGCCCTGTCCCGACTACATTTATGACTTCAATCACAAAGGTGAGGCCTGCGGGAGGGGTGGGGATCAGAGGGAGCCCAGACTTGGAGCTCAGGGCTTCAGTGGCTCCAGACCTCCCTACCTGCCCTGACCTCCCATGGACCTGCAGGCCATGCCTACCGACGCTGTGACCGAAATGGCAGCTGGGAGCTGGTGCCTGGGCACAACAGGACGTGGGCCAACTACAGCGAGTGTGTCAAATTTCTCACCAATGAGACTCGTGAACGGGTAAGAGCCTTTCTCCTCCCCAACCTGGATAAATTCACTCCCATCCCACAGGGGGACCCCTGACCCAGCCTTGACCTAACCTTGGTCCCTCCAGCAACCTTACCCTGGCCTCTTACTCTTACCCTGATGCTCGCCTTGGCTCTGGGGGAATCTGACTGTGTCTCCCCCTGCACAGGAGGTGTTTGACCGCCTGGGCATGATCTACACCGTGGGCTACTCCGTGTCCCTGGCGTCCCTCACCGTAGCTGTGCTCATCCTGGCCTACTTTAGGTGGGCGGGGCGAGGGCGGGGCGAAAGGCGGTGGGGCGTGGTCGGGGGCCGAGGTCTGATGCGACCCACCTCCCTGCACCCGTCACCCCTGGCGGGCGTCCCTACCTACTGCGCACAGCCGAGCTTCCTGCCCACCTGCCGCGCGTGCCCGTGCCCCCACCCACGGTGATGTTGCGCGCCCCGCAGGCGGCTGCACTGCACGCGAAACTACATCCACATGCACCTGTTCCTGTCCTTCATGCTGCGCGCCGTGAGCATCTTCGTCAAGGACGCGGTGCTCTACTCTGGCGCCACGCTCGATGAGGCTGAGCGCCTCACCGAGGAGGAGCTGCGCGCCATCGCCCAGGCGCCCCCGCCGCCCGCCGCCGCCGCTGCCGGCTACGTGAGTGCCCGTCCGTCCGTCCGCCCGCTCCCCGTGCCGCCGCTGGCCTCGTGGGGCCCCGCCCCTGCCCTCCAGCCTGGCCCTCGCCCTGCCAGTCTCCTGCCGGCGCCACTAGCTTCAGCCATTCAAACCCGGCTCACAGGGTCCCTCACGACCCTCAGCTCTGCTGCCAGCCCTGCTGCCAAGAGCTCCGAGTCTCCAGACGCCCCGCGCTGCCATCAAGGCTCCTGCCTCAACCTAGTCTCCCCAGCCACTCCGCCTCTTCACTTTGCCTCCTGCCCTTGAAACCTCACCCCAATGAGAGAGCTCCCCCAGCAGAGCCTGCCCCTTCCTGGCCTGCTGGGCCAGCACCACTTGTCCCCTCCCACCGCCCCAGTCCCCAGCCTAGCCGGGACTTCCTGGAGGCAGGCCCTGCCCTCTGGCTAACACCAGCTGGTCTCCTAGGCGGGCTGCAGGGTGGCTGTGACCTTCTTCCTTTACTTCCTGGCCACCAACTACTACTGGCTTTTGGTGGAGGGGCTGTACCTGCACAGCCTCATCTTCATGGCCTTCTTCTCGGAGAAGAAGTACCTGCGGGGCTTCACGGTCTTCGGCTGGGGTACGCGGGCGCAGCGGGCAGTGAGGCGCCGCCGGGGTGGCCCATGGGCAGCAGGGAGAGGGCAGCCCCTGAAGGGAGGCACCACACAGCACATCCCACCCCAGGTGGAACAGCAGGAGAGAGGCCTGCCACCCTTCTGTGACTCTGACCCCCTTCCAGGCTCAGGGAACAGGGCTTACCAGCGGTCAGGTTCACCTGGGGTCAGATTCACCTGAAGTTGAGGCTCAGCCCAGGAGAGGGGGAGGAGGGACCATTAGGCCAAGATTCAGCTCAGGATCAGATTGGAATACTGGGTCAGAGGTCAGCCTGGGGCGGGAATTGGGATCTGGGACCCTTCCTCTACCCTGAGCCTCATGGACTAGGCCAGCATCTATTACCCCACCAGTCGCCTTGATGGAATGAGGTGGGGGGCTGCCCACACCATTGCCAGCCTCAGGAGGCCTGCGGGGTCCATGACCCAGAGCCATGGGCCCAGCCCCTCAGCATCACCTGGGCTTCACAGCCCCTCTGCAGAATGGGTTGCTAGAGCCGAGCATTCCTCCCAGCCCCCTACTGGCTCTGGGATCCAGTTACCGATAATTGTCCATTATTGTTGGCAGCTGCAGAGCTTGGCTGGGCTCCGGGGCAACTAGCCAGACTGCAGAGGGGTGGGCCGGGTGGCTGGAGCCCTCTCTGCACTCAGCACCCAGAGGCCCACAGGTCCACAGCCACTGCCTCCCTGCCCCTTGGCATACATCCTGACCCTGACCTCACCATGCCAAGCTCCGGAGTTGGGGAGACCTGGGCCCAGTCCCAGAAACTAATGCAGGCTCTGGGGCTAGGAGGTGTCTGAGTGGGCTGGAGACATGCAGAATGTCACAGCTCTTCTTCCTACCATAAATCCAGGTCATGCCCTGTCCCTCCAAGGGTGTACCAGGCCTAGAATCAAGTTGGTGGTATGTGGTGGGGAGGACCTGGGGCTCCCTTCCCAGAAGCACAGCTCACTCAGAGATACCATGTGCCCCTTGAGTTGGCGCAGGCCAGGACACATTGACTTCCCTGTGGCCTTTGCTTGAGACAAAACCTCTCACCCCATCCAGTCTCATCCATGAGGGCTAGGACCTTTCAAACCAGGCTGTGTGGGAGCTGTGCTGGGGCAAAAATAATGCAGATAATCGGCCCCCTCCCCATGGGAGCTGCAAGTCCAAAGAAGTGCCCATTGTAGGGGAGTGGACAGCACATGGGTCAGTTAGTGATACCTTACTATTACATTACACCGTGTACCCCACCTATGTGCATTTGACACGGAGCCAAGATGGGGACACAGGCTGAGCTGGGTTTTGAGGCTGGAGCCCCAAGAGAAGCTGTTAGGGCAGCACACTCCAGAGTGTGGCTCTGTTCCCAAGTGGCCCAGGTGCCCAGGGTGAGGGGGTCAGGGCAATGGTGGGGTAAGTTGGGCGTCATAAAGGATGAGGGAGGGTAACCTTGTGGACAGCAGCCACAGCCCCGCACACTGTCCCCCTCTGTGCCCGCAGGTCTGCCCGCTGTCTTCGTGGCTGTGTGGGTCAGTGTCAGAGCTACCCTGGCCAACACCGGGTAGGTCCAGGTGGAGAAGGGGCCCAGGCAAGAAGCCCCCTGGGTCCTTTTTCTTCCAGGAAGCATGTGAGAGGGCCTCCTGTACCCTGGCCTCAAATGGCCCAGCCTCAGGAGTTCTCAGTCCAGCCTCCAGCTGGACCCCTCAGGGTCACAGAAGGCTAATTCCAAAGAGGCCTGTGAGGATGGCCTCAGGCCTGGCCACACCCAACCCCCCTGCCCCCTGTGTCCTCAACAGCTAATGTCAGACTGGATCAACTCTGGGCCTCTGTGGGCAGGCTCAGGATGGGAACGGGCAGAATGGAAGCTAAAGTTCTCAACCTCCCCCAGGTGCTGGGATTTGAGCTCCGGGAACAAAAAGTGGATCATCCAGGTGCCCATCCTTGCCTCCATTGTGGTGAGTGTGGTCGGGGGGAGGCTGCTGGCCACAGGGGTGGGTGGGATGTGGCCTAGGCCCCAGGGACCAGCCCCTGACAGTGACCTAGGAGGCTTCCCTGGACCCCAGTGTCAGAGCCACAGAGGCCAGAGGACCAGCCGATCCACACTCCAGCCCAGAAAGGAAAACCAAGGGCCCAGAGATGCGTGACAGAGTAGAGCCTGTGGCCACGGCCACCAGGCCTTGCCCGTGCCCTCTCCCAACCCCTGCTAGGGTGCAGCCTCCAGACGCAGCCCCCTCACTCCCACAGCTCAACTTCATCCTCTTCATCAATATCGTCCGGGTGCTCGCCACCAAGCTGCGGGAGACCAATGCCGGCCGGTGTGACACACGGCAGCAGTACCGGTGAGCCCACTCTGCCTGCCATGCCCTGGCTCCTCAGGGGTCACTGAGTCCCGGTACCATGTACCGGAGGAAGGACAGGCCTGTGGCAAGGGAACGAGCCTGGGGCAAGGGAAGGACCCCCTGGCTGTCCCCACTCACCTGGCCAGCCCCAGGCCCTGGCCTGCCCAGCAGTGATGGGAGGCCCTGGGGGTACCCAAAGCCATCCTGTCTCCTGCTTGGTACCAGGCCCTGCACTAGAGTCTGCGAGGGTGGGATGAACTTGAACATCTCCTCAAAGAGTTGGTTGTGGGGAGTCTGAGGAGCAGGAGCAGGTAGAGGGTGGGTGGCCCAGGAAGGTCGCAGCTCAGCTGAAACCTGAGGAGTAGGCCATGGGATAATGAGGTACAGCCGTGGAGGGGAGTGCATGCCAGCTGAGGGCTCGGCAGGTGCAAAGGGTCCGGGGCCTGGGGGACTGTCATTTGAGGTCCACTCTGGGACACTGCTGAGGACCAAGGGGCCCTATTAGCACTTGGCTGGGAGAGCAGCCAGCAGGTGAACTGGGCTGTCCTCCCATGGTGACCGGAGTCCTGAGCTCCTTTGTGCTTCCGGAGCCTGGGGCTGGCAGGGTGAGGGGTGGCATGGTGCTTGTTGAAGGGGAAGGGGCTTGGCCCTGACCCACCTGCCCCACCGGCCCAGGAAGCTGCTCAAATCCACGCTGGTGCTCATGCCCCTCTTTGGCGTCCACTATGTCGTCTTCATGGCCACGCCGTACACCGAGGTCTCAGGGACGCTTTGGCAAGTGCAGATGCACTATGAGATGCTCTTCAACTCCTTCCAGGTGTGCGGCCGGCCCGGGCCTGGCTGAGGGGGGGAGGGCGCCAGGGACAGGCCCTGATTCCAGCCACTCTCTTCACAGGGATTTTTTGTCGCCATCATATACTGTTTCTGCAACGGTGAGGTAAGCAGGAGACAGTGTTGGCATAGGGCAGGGTGGGGCAGATGTCCCAGAGGTCTCCTCCAGGCCTGTCCCTCCATTATTCCACCCTGCCATTTCTTCCTTCCTCCAAGAACACCCCTGAGGACATGCTGAAAGCAGAGAAGTCTTCCCAGATGGTGCAGGCTCAGGATGTGCTAGGATTTGGGGACTTTTCAGTCACTGGTATAGCCGTGTCTTCCCAGCCCCATGATTGAAATCTCTGTAACCCAGATTGGAGGACTCAGCCACCTTTGGGGCAATTTGAGTCTCGTAGATTCTGGATGTGTCAGTTGCCTGCAGCCAAGCACCCTGTTCTGAGGATAGGATTTCACTTGCTCTTAGAGTTTCCCAGGAGTCCCCTATTCCCATTTTCATTCCGTGCTGGGTGTTCAGGGGCGCGGATGGGCCGTCACTGGGGTTGGGAGACTTACCTGACTGCTGTGCCCCTACCACCCCAAGGTACAAGCTGAGATCAAGAAATCTTGGAGCCGCTGGACACTGGCATTGGACTTCAAGCGCAAGGCACGCAGCGGGAGCAGCAGCTACAGCTATGGCCCCATGGTGTCCCACACAAGTGTGACCAACTTCGGCCCCCGTGTGGGACTCGGCCTGCCCCTCAGCCCCCGCCTGCTGCCCGCTGCCACCACCAATGGCCACGCTCAGCTGCCTGGCCATGCCAAGCCAGGGGCCCCAGCCCTGGAGGCCCTGGAGACCACACCACCTGCCATGGCTGCTTCCAAGGACGATGGGTTCCTCAACGGCTCCTGCTCAGGCCTGGACGAGGATGCCTCTGGGCCTGAGCGGCCACCCGCCCTGCTGCAGGAAGAGTGGGAGACAGTCATGTGACCAGGCACAGGGGTGGGGCCTCCTGCCATGGTGGATGGACAGATGGACCAAAAGATGGGTGGTTGGATGGTTGCCCACTCAGGGCTGGGGCTGAGAGAAAAAACAGAGGAAAAAAAAAGAAAAAGGAAAAGGAAGCGGTGTGTGGCTTCCTGTGGCCCAAACTGGGGACTCGCTCCAAGGGGGCTGGGGCTGGGAGTCAGGGGAAGCTGAGGGGGCATGGGGAGGGCCATGAGTCATGGAGGAATCCTCTGGTCTCACTTCAGGAGGAGGAGGGCTCTGGGGTCTGTGGTATCATCCAGCAGAAAGGGCCCAGAGAGGCTGAAATCTGCAAGGGAAACAGAGCAGCCAAGTGGACCCATGTGGGAATATCCGGCCTCAGCCTCCCCTCCATCATGGCTGCCAGCTGTGAGCTGCTCTCCATACTTGAACCTAGGCCCCATGGGGACCCAGGCTCCTCTAGGCCAACTCTGCTGCCTGCTGGCCACCCAGGGCTGTTGGCAGATCCCTCAGCTCCCTGGCCCCACCCCCAGGCCTACGGCCCTGCCACACGGAGTGAACCTTTCCTGGCTGTCCCGGGGCCACTCAGGGAGTGGCCCTCCATGCGGAAGCCTCAGCATCCACTCTCAACCTGACGTGCCTCAGTGACTGAGGTTGCAGGAGGGGCACCAGGGCCAGCAGGTGAAGGGTGGGCTGGGTCTCCACTCTGGCTCAGGACTTGTGGGGAGCCAGGCATCCAAGCCCAGAGAGCTGGCTGGGCAGGGGCCTGCAAAATTGGACACATCCACTCACTATTCATCTGGGATAGTCACTAAATGTCCTCATCTGACACCCACTTACCACCTTACCCCCCTCTCCCACTTCGACCATTCGTGGCCCCAGAGCAACCCCTGAGGGCGACCCTGTGGTGTGCCCACCCCAGGCTTCTTGCTCTTGCTCCAGCCTGAAGATGGCCCTGCCTCCAGGCCGCTGCACGAGCGGGCCCTACTTTCCCATCTCCCACTCAGCCCACCTTGCTTTTCCCTACGGACTCACCACCCAGCAGTGCACCCCATCTCCAGTAGCCCCCACATACCCTGTGGGGAATAGGGGAGGGGTCAGGAGGCCCAAGACAAAAAACTCAGGTAGGCATTAGGTGGCATGGGCACACACTGAGCAGCCTCAGGCCCAGCCCTCCCTGCCCTTCCAGATGACAGACAGGGCCAGCAGCTGTCCAAGGGCCTGGTGTACCTGTGGAGCTCCATGCAATGGTGGGGGGCATAGGCCAGTCTTGAAGGGCTGCTGAGCCAGGCTGGGAGCCACTGGAAGTACAAGAGGGAGAGCAACAAAGTCTGAATGTTTTAAAAAGTTCCCACATCCATGTGGAGACCAGAGGAGGTTGCACAGGTGTTGGGAAGAGGTGGCCTGGCAGGGAGATGGTGACAGGGAGAGGGAGGGGCTGTTGTCAGGAAGAACCCTGCATGAGGTGCTGGCTGGGGGAAGGAGACCTCAGCAGGGCAGACCCCCAACCTCCTCCCCAGGGATGTCCCATGCCGCTCTCCAAGGTCTGAACGGGAGGTTTCTGAAGCAATAAGCCCATGAGCCCCACTCACCCGGAAGCATTCAGACTGGGCACCCCCCCACAGGGCTGTGACTTCCCTCAGGCTGGGTGCACCCCCCAGGTGGAGGTGGGCTCTCCTCTCAGAGTGGATTCCCTCTAGGACAGGGTTTGGCCTCTTCCTACAACCAGGGACCCCTGATCCCCACCCACATCCCAGGACAGGGTTGTGTCTCCCAGCTCAGCCTGAGTACCCCAAGGTCAGGGCCAAGCCTCTGTCTCAGATAGAGTGCTCCCCAGGGCAGAGGTGCCCCTATCCTCTGCCCTACTGGGTAACCTGGAGGACAGGGCTATCTCCCATTAGACTGGTCACCATCTTCCCTTTAGATGGAACTCCCCTCCAGATAGAGCTGTCCTTCCCCTTTGAACTAATGCCCCCGGGACATGCTGGGTACCCCCATCACAGGTTTAGTGTCCCCAGGCCAGGGCCAGGCCTCCCACACCAGCTGGTTGCCTCCTAGAGGAGGACTGCCCTCCCCCGAGGGTATCTGCACCCAGGACAGTGCCAGGCCTCCATCTTTGGACTGGGCACCATTTTCCCCTCCATCCGCATGTCCAGGACAGGACTGGACCTCTCAACTCAGTCCAAGTCCCCTAGGCCAGGACCAAGTCTCCCTGCTTAGGCTAGGAACCCCCAGGCCAGGGCTGGCCTACATTCACAGAGGCCTCCGAGCCCCACCTGGGCCATCCAGGTATTGGCAGCAGAAGTGGAGCGCTCAGCAGGCCTGGCAGGCAAGCAGGACCCTGTTTGCCTTGAGCAGGGACTGGATCCAGGTGGTCACTTCTCCCTTCACGGCCGCACAGTGAAGCCAAGCCACAGGGAACATGTAAACATCAGCAGAGCTGGGCGGGGGGGTCAGCAGGGAGGAGGGCACCTGGGAGACCCCAACTCCTCAGCCTCCTTGGCTATGGGATCCGGCACCTCAGGCTGCCCAGACTCCTGAGGGCAGGCCAGTACAGTGGCCAGGTCCTGTTTCACCTGTCTTGAGCACGTGTATGGCCCCACCCCTTGATGGCCTGTCTCCCTCAGCCCAGGCTGCCAGAAGGATCACTGAAGCCTCTTGGAAGAAATGGACCTCCTGGGGGCGCTGGTCTAGCCCTGGAACACAGGCTCAGCCTCAAGGGGAAGCTAGTGGGTGCAAAGCTCCCAGCTTAGAATAGTGTCAAGCCCTGCCACCCCCCATCTGCCAATCCATCAAGAGCAAGGACTGATCTGGGCCCCACGTGCCTGGAGTGGGCAGGCTGTGAGGGTCCACACTCTTCAGCCCTCACCCAAGGAGGTGGCCAGAGGGAGCATGGACAGACAGGAAAGGGGGCTGAGTTCTCTGGAGGTTCAAGAGCGATATGCCCCTGCCCCTCCCTGCCTGGGGTCTTCGAGGACACAGCCCTGCTCTGGGGGTCTTAGAGGACGTGGACCTATCCTGGGGATCCGAGAGTGCACTGGCTCTGCATGGATTGCTGGAAGAGCCGTCTGGCTGTGGGGGCCATTGTGGGGGGCTGGGGTAAGGGGGTGCAGCTCCCTGCCCCTGGTGCCTCCTCAGCCAATGCCAAGAGAATGATCCCACCCTAAGGCTGCCATGGCCAACTGAAACAAACCTTGCCTGAGGGACTGGTCCCACTGGCTGGGAGGGACAGAGGAGGAAGGGACTCCAAAGCTGGGCAGGGGCCTGAACCCTGGCTGGCTCCGGGTGTGTGCTGTGTGGCACTGGGCAAGCCACCTTCCCTCTCTGAGCCTCAGCTTCTCCTCACTGGTCAGGCCCCTGAATGGGTTCAGGATCCCACGTTGCTCCTCAACAGGCTCCCAGGCCTGGACAAGGGAAGGGACAGTACCCCTATCCTTCCCTCAGGACCTCCCCCTGACTGGCCCCCTCACTCTTCAGTGCCACAGGCAAGCAAGCAGGGGAGGCCAGGTCAGGGTGGCTTCTTCTTGCTCCAGCATTTTTAACAGGCAGGGGCAGCCTTGGCATGGAGGCCACAGTCAGACTACCTGTCCTCAAAAACTCTTGTCCATACATCAGCAAGAGAGGGGGGCGTATTGGGTGTCATTCTCCAGGTGCGAGCATTCATTTGTGGGTGCTACATGTGTATTTCTTCATTATTTGTGTACAGTCTGTCAATGTGTCCATCTGTGTGTCTGTGCTTCTGTGTACTTGTGTGTCTGGATATGCCTGCATGTCCATTTGTATGTGTCTGTCTTCTTGCATGTCTGTGTAATTGTATGTGTGTGCACCAGTCTGTGTATTTTTGTGTCTATTTGTATATTTGTGTGTATGCAGGTCTATTTTTGTGTGTCTATTTGTATATGTCTGTTATATGTGTGTGTGCGTCTGTTTCGCTGTTGGTGTATGTCTGTATTTAAATGAGTGTATTTGTGTGTGTATATTTGTGTATATCTGTG